TAGTTGTTTTCAGGTTTTTTTTCTCCCATAAGAATATAAGCACTTTGAAGACAAGGACCACATTTTTGCCTTTCTTTGTATCCTCAGTGCTTAGCATAGTGCCTGGCACATAATAGGTACTTAAATAAGAAAAATTCATTTTAAAAGCTTAATTTACACCAATTAGAGGATGCCATCTTATATTATCTTGACTGCAAATAAGTCAGGCTCTTATTTTGAGAAGTTTTACATTTTAAGTGAAGATAACACTTCAGGCAGATGCTTTATTCTCTAGGACTATCCCTGACAGGCTCATTCCTCACTGTCAAACATCTCTCTGCTCATTATATCAGATAAAAAAGTCTCATCAAAGTTCTTGTAGGCCAATGAATTCAGCCAAAGTCATCAGTCCATGTGATGTCCATATGGGGAATCACGTCACCTCACTCTAGCACAGCCCTCCCCACCTGCCTTTTGCACCGTTTTGGAGAGGGTTGCATATTTTAATATTTTAAAGCAGTGTGGGTTTCATTTAAAGTAGGCTCAGTCCCCAGAGCTATCTGAAAAGTAGCCTTAAAAAATCAAAGAAGCATGCTCATGGCTGGAACCACCATGGCAGCAAGCAAGAAGGGCAAACTTTCAACTGCGCAATTTAGATGGGAGCTTTCCAGGACACTGCTGAAATATGACTGAAAGGATGCTTGCCAAGGGAATCTGGGTTACCATGAACCAGCTTTCAAAGGGCAGGTTCTCCTAAGAACAAGCTCTGCGGTGACCCATCGGGCGCTTTACAAAGCACTTTCCTTTCAACATCCCTAGGGAAGCAGGTGGGGTAGAAACAGTCACCCCTACCCTGTAGCTGGTGAGGTACAGGGATAAGTCTTTGGTCACACAGCTGACAGGTTCAGGAGCCAGGATTAAGGTCTCCTGACCCAAAGGCTGAAGCCCTCCCCATCACCCTACGCCGCTTGCTTTCGTTCTGGGTGGGGTCAGCCCATGATCAGGTGATGATCGCATACCTCTTCAGCAGGGTGCTAGGTGAAATGGTCGCTAGAAAACAGGGGCCAAAGAAGACGGTAAGAGATGGAAAAAGTCAGCGGTGCAGGGGCTGTAGAAGGCAGAAACCCTGGGAAACCACTGGTGGAGAGGACGACTGCTTTGGGATCGATAATTTGTATCTGGCTTGATGATCCCATTCTGGGACCCCTGCCCCTTAGGAGATCAGAGACAGGAAGGAAGGCCAAAGTATTTATAGCAGCAAAAGCAAAACTGGGGGAAATGGGTACGCCTGGATCGGATGATAGCTGCAGCAACTGCAACGGGTCGTGGAGGATTAGGCACTAGAAGAAATGAGAAGAGGACTTCAGACACAGCTTGGGCAAACTCTTTTTTACAGATGAGAAAACTGAGGCCCAGAGAGAAGTGACTTATCCAGGGTCACCTGGAGAGTAAATGATAGAGGCAGGTCTTGAGTCCAAGTCCTCTGACACCCTTGGCCCTGCGTGGCGCTGTCCGTGGTGGTATCAATGGCCCCGCTGCCCTGCCACCACATTCCAGAGGCTCAGAGATCGAGGACCAGGGATTGCAGAGGTTGTCCGGTCTGTCGCTGATGTTTGTGAGTGCCTGGACCAGCCACGCTGCCGTCCCGCTCCCCACGAGCCAACACTCAGAAGTAACAAGACGCTGAGCCCGGCACGGCCGCAGCCTCTGCTTTCGGACCTGTTCTTGGGATCCTGCTGCCCGTTGGCTGCTTGTCGCCTTCGTGTCGTGGGCTTTTGCCTCACTTTCGGGCTGCTCTAGAAACCTCTTCTTTTCCTCCTTTAAGTCAGTAATTTGTGCCTCTGATCAACGTTGAAACTATTTCATTAATTTTTTTTTTTTTTTTGGCCAGGCAATGGGGTTAAGTGCCTTGCCCAAGGTCACACGGCTAGTAGGTGTTAGGTGTCTGAGGTCATATTTGAACTCAGGTCCTCCTGACTCCAGGGCCGGTGCTCTATCCACGGCGCCACCTAGTTGTCCCTGTTTAAACTCTTGATGCTGCTGGGTCACGCTGCTCTGGGCACCTTACCCATCCTTCCCTGAGTTTTTCTCTGACCTCCTCATTTCACACACGTGTGGCCGAGGTTCATCAGGGGCTTCCCTGGGGCCGACATTCAAAACCCCACGTTCCCAGGCACTGAAGGAGCCAATGTTCCTTCCATTGCCTCGTGCTGCCCATGTATGTATACATAAAGGAAAGAGACTGCAGAGAGCACCTACGACCCCACCTATGCAAAGAAAAGACGTCCTAGAAGCCCACAGAGTTCAACTCAATCCAGCGAGGCTCCTTTGCAGAGGAGAGGCGGTGGGGCCAGGGATTTGGAATGAGGCATATGTTGTGAAATACGGTCGATGTGTCTGTTGTTTTGCTTAATTACCCTTAGTTTTAAGTAAGGGTTTGACCAGGCCTGGAATTGGCAAGTGACCACAATGTGAAGAAAAATGTAAAAAAAAAAAATGGGAAGGAAAAACCAATAAAAATCAAACTCCAAGGCATTAGTTAAGGAATTCTGGAGGGGCTCCTGACCTCAAGTAACTTGAAAACTTGTTGGGACGTGAGACTACTGCACAGGACACGGATGGGACAATCCAAGACCATGTGCTGAGGAGATGAGATCACAAGTTAACACTGGTCTGAACAGGCCAATGTAATCTATCATCATCATTATTATTAAATAGAGTCATAGGGTGACATGGCGCTGGCCTTGGAGTCCCCAGATAGCTCTGGGGACTAAGCCTCCCGGCCATGGACCGATCAACAAGGGTTGTTACGTTTGTGTTGGGGACTGTGCTAGCAATGAAGACTTGGGTTCAAGTCCTACCACAGACACCTGTGTGTTATGTAACCCAATCACTTACCCTCTTAGTGATATTGGTGACTGTCTTAGATGGCAGATGCAGAGAAGGAGCCGATCTACATCAGTGGGGAGATCTTCCTCACCTGGGATGTCAGTAAAGTGCGTGTTGTCAAACATTCCCATGGGCCGTTGTGAACCTTACCTGTGCTTGTCTTCTGGAGAGCTAGGACCTCAGCCTCCCCTCCCCCACGCGTGCAGATGAGAAAACCAAGGCCAAGAGCCATGAGTTGGCTTGCCCAGGGTCCCAGGGGTAGGAGGCAAAGTGAAGCTGTGAACCCAGGTCCTCCAGCACTGAACCAGCACGGTCTCATCTCTCTTTGCAGGAGAGATATTAAGCTACGAGTCAAACTGTGGTCAAGGGGGCCCAACCTCTTCCTAGCTGAAAGGTCCAGTTCAGGAGAAGGCAGCAGCCATTTCCATTATAACCAAGTCATAGTTGGGGGGGAGGGGACAGGTACGTGCCAGGCATCGCCCTAAGCACTTTACAAGTACTTTCTCACTTGATCCTCACAACAACCTTTTGAGGTAGGTGCTATTACTGTCCCCATTTTACAGTTGAAGAAACTGAGGCAAATGGGGTTGTAGTGACTTTCCCAGGGCCACATGGGTAGTAAGTGTCTGAGGCTGCTTTTGAACTCTGGTCTTCCTGGCTCCAGGCCTCTGGCTGCCTGGTGTTTCCCGTTTTTAGGGGAATAGCAGTGCAAGGGTGCTATCTCAGATGCTCTGGGTAATTTGGCCTTGACATACCCATATGGTGTTTTACCTTCACACCCATTAGTGGCTTGTCCTCGGTCAGCCATACTGTATGCACGAGGTAGCACTGGAATCCAGGCCCTGCTCACCCCATCCATTAGGCTCCATGGCAGAGAAACCATTGGCCTCAGTCAGATTTGTCCCATGAGCTCATGAGCTGCTGATAATACACACCCCATCTTCATGAGGAGAACTCAAGGACATAGGTTTTATTTATGAGAATTTTCTGGTGGAATTAAGAACCTTGAGTTTCCCAGACGTAATTACCAATTGCTGCCTGTCAAGACCTCATGCTGGAAATTTGACAGAAAAAACACAGAGGTCATTCTGTCGCAATGGGCCTCTGCATGGAGAATCCTAAAACTGAACGAAGGATTTCCACTTATTTAAAGAACCAAGGTTTACGCCCTCCCTGTGCTCTGATAGTTAGAGTATTAAAACAATGAAGAAACCAATAGGTGAACATCCAGAGGGTTCATTTTGAAAGGTGAGAACAATAGGTTCCATCTAAGATTGAAATCAATAGTAAATTCCATCGTAGAAGAGAATGTGGAGAATGAGGTGAGAAAGAGCTGGAGTGCAAGGGCTCCATCACCAGGATGATGGAGCCCTCACAAAGTGCTACTATCCTGGGCTGTGACCAGAATGAGGGCGGTCACAGTCCCTTTGTGCCATGCCCTGATCAGAGCAGAGCTGGACTGCTGCACTCAGTTTGGGGAGGGCAGGGATGGGTCACCTGGATCTGTTGTAGAGGAGAGCGACCAGGATGTCTAAATGACTCAGACCTCATCGTTTAAGCATTGCTCCAAGGAATTGAGGTTGCTAACCTGGAGAAGAAAGAGCAGAGGATTAGGGATGAAAGGGCGACAGTTGTTCGGAGCATCCTGGCTGTCTGTCTGACCGAGTGCTTAGCTCCTGTTCAAGTGTGGGTCCTTCCAACTCTGAGATCTTGTGGGCACATGATCTGGTATTTCAAGGGCTGTTGTATGGGAGATGAGCTAAACTTTTACTGCTTTTTCCCAGAGGGAAAAGGGACAGACTTCCACTGGACACAAGGAAGAACTTTTCAACCACTAGAGATGTTTAAAAGTGAAAGTGGCTGCTTTCCAAGGAAGTGAGTTCCTCATCACTGGAGGTCCTGAAGTAGGACAAGGATGACCATGTTAGGGGAAGTCATAATGGAGAAGGTTAAACTATATGACCACTGAAGTTCCTTCAGACTCCCATAGTTTGTAATCCCTACTTGTGTAGCGTAAATAGGCTAGTCACTAGGGGAAAAATAGTCATTTTTGCCTTCTATCAAAGGGGCAGAAATTGTATGCACTTGAGTCACATCCTCATGAAAATACTAAAAAGGAAAAATTCTTTTAGGTGCCACATCCTCTCCATTCTCCGTAATTGTTGCCAGAGCCAACTTCCACAAATATGAATGACATTTCCCAGAAGGCTGAGGTAAGTCTCAGGTTTAAAAAGGGTGAAGGTGCATGACTGACTCTCATTGGCACACCATAATCCTGGTGTACTTCCTCAAGCTTCTGCTCCTTGTATTGCATTAGTAACCACAGTGTCCACACTCAAGGTGGCTGGGATATGACCTTTGGTCCTCCGAGTCACCAGAGGACACAATGGAATAGGTCTCACCAACCTGGACCCAACAATGAACTGGGACGGAGAGGGGCTAAGAGTAGAGAGACTCTTAATGAGAAGCTTGGCCATACAGGGATGAACTCTGGCCGCTTTTGAGTGGGGTTTATCATAGTCTGATCCTAGAATCGGTGCCTTGGTTGATGACAATTTAGCTTTATTTGCTGCCATCAGCATAGGTGGGATGGCCAGAACTTCTGAAGATGCTATTGGAGTAAAAATGGCTCAATAAACTTCAGGATTGGTGTACTTCAGTTAGTTGCGTGTGTTTCTAACTAAATGCAGACTAGTGCTAAGGATGACACAAGTCATATAAATTCTGCAGTATAATTTCAGCTGGGGTACAGGGTGACCTGAGTTTTCTGTATAAAAAGACTAAGGTTTTGCTCCATGATTGGACCGTTCATTCCCACATGGTAGCTGTCCCTATTGGCAGCCACAGCAGTACTTTCCCCAGGCCACTGGCTACTGACCACGGCAATAAGGAAGCTGGGGTGGGAAGGGATGCAGCCACTGGCATATTAAATGAATGAAATGAATCTAAGTTAGGAGAATTTTAAAAACAACAAATTAAATGTTCAATGCATTTTCCATGTCCATATGCAAGCCTTGAAATACAAGTGGATAAATAGAATTCAAACTAGGGGATCACTTCTTGTGTGGGAGAGAGTTGGGTGGGGGTGAAACACCCAGGGCAGAGGTTCTCAGTCTCTTTTGTGTCATTGACCCTCTGGCAATCTGGGACAGCCTACAGACTCCTCAGGATAATGTTTCTAAAGGCAATCAAAAAGACATAGGATTGCAAAGGAAACCAGTTTTGCGGAAATATAGTTATCCAACTATTAGAAAACCAGAACTAATTTGTGGACTCCCTGAAATCTTTCCATGAACAGACAAGGGATGGATGGATCCCAGGTTAAAAACCCCTGTCCTAGGGGGTCATAAATAAGTAATACTTCTCAAGTGCTAAGAAACGCAGTGTCAAATATTTCACGCCCCATGCCTTTAGTGCTGCACCGGGAGATGAAATGTAGCCAGTCCTTAACTAAAGTGAAGGAGGCCTCTGCTTTCTGGTTCTTTATGGGCTTTGCCTGCATTGATTCCACCTGTCAAGGACTCTCACAAAGCTTTGTATCTGATTTTATTCTCATGAGAATTTAGCTTTAGTTATTTGTGTTTCCATTTTCTTTTTCCACCTGATCTTTAGAAGGCACAAAGTGAATTACTACCAGTGGAAACTGAGCTCCCAGACTCATACATATTTTCTGTTTTAATACGTTTTTCTTTATAATCAGTCTAATCTAATCTGTTCTTAATTTTTTCCATCTTTTAAAAAAACTTTCTTTTCTTTCTCTTCATCTAACAAAGATTCTGCTTTCCTCATCTAAACCTGTTCCCAAAACCTATGTGCCCAAACTTGGCAAGGGCGATGTCAAGGATAAATTTGAAGCCATGCAGAAAGCAAGGGAAGAAAGGACTGAGAGGCGATCTAGAGACGAGAAGCAAAGAAGAAAAGAACAATTTCTTAGAGAGAGAGAGTGGAGCAGGAGAAAGCAGGAGGTTGTTGCATCTGCTGCCTGTTTGAACATCTAATTTGATGCTAAAGATTGTTCATGTTTTAAAGCATTGTTTCTTGTGGACTGAAATGCGTATGATGCAGTGTGCTTAATGTATACACTAGTTTTTGCTTCATATGTGTAGTAAAAGAATTTTGTTCAATGGTGTATCTGTGCTTGGAGATGCTCCTTCCAATGTAATTTCTTTACCTGTCTAGATGAAAGAAATGCTTGCTTCTGATGAGGAAGAGGAGACATCTAAGGTAGAAAAGGCTTTTGTACCAAAGCTAACAGGTAAGGAGTTGAAAGAATCAGTTGGGAATGGAATTGTAAAGTAAGGAGGCAAAGAGCTTTAAAAAAAAAATTCTTCTCTCTTCATAGGAACTGTTAAGGGCAAATTTGCAGAAATGGAAAAACAAAGACAAGAGGAGCAAAGGAAAAGAACCGAGGAGGAAAGAAAGCGCAGAATTGAACAAGACCTGTTAGAAAAGAGGAAAATTCAACGAGAATTAGCAAAGCGAGCTGAGCAGGTCGGTGGGCTCCAGATCCCGGGGGTTGGGGGTGGGCAGCAGGATAGGGCAAGGGATGAGTGGGGTGAGGAGTTGCTACAAGGTGACAGAAAGCTAACTTGGGTGTGGAGCTGAATGTCCATGCCGGCTATGTTGGGGGCATACCTGGGCAGCCATAAGATGCTGGTGTTCACAATGGCATCATCACCCTGGGCAGCAGCCACACTCCAATGGGACCTGGCAGGATGCTTCAGATCATTTGACACCTGGACGGAGGGCAGAGGGGGGCAGTGTGGACCCCGTATGCTTTCTCAAAGCCTAGTGTGGGCATGGCACCAAAAGGCAGCTGCTGGCTTGGCTGTGGGGTCCGTGAGCTGCTCCTTTTCCTGGGAGTCATGCTCCCATGTTCCCATGCTCCCTCCATGTTCCCTGGATGTCTTCAAGGATGGGAGGCAGTGCTTAACACAGTGATGATGCCGGAGAATAACTGGTGATCGAACTCACAAGTGCCAGCCATAATTACACCATATTTGAGTGATCAAATGAATGTCCAACCGTGATTCCAGAGGACAGAAAATGCGGCCTGCACTTCACCTTCTAAGAGAGAGCTGAGAAGCTCTGGGCAAAGCGAAACACAAGAGTGTGTGAATTTGTTCTGCTTGACCACTCATTTGTTACAGGGGAAGGGTTGGTTTTTTTTTTTTTAGGCAATTGGGGTTAAATGACTTGCCCAGGCCACAGCTAGTAAGTGTCCAGTGTTTGGTCCGAGGCCAGATTTGAACTCAGGTTCTCCTGACTTCAGGGTCGGTGGTCTATCCACTGCACCACCTAGCTGCCCCTGGGAAGGTTTTTTTTTTTAAAGGGGAGGAGCAGAGTCTCCTCCCTGCCAAAAAAAGAAAAGAGGGTCATCGAGGCTCTCAAAAACTCAGAGAAGAAAGCTGAGAGGGAGCCACAAACAAACAGCATAGCTTTGACATTCACGTGTTGAATTTGCTCTGGTCTTTCAAAAACAAGCTCTACATCCTAGGGATTTATGGTTTCATATACAAGCCTCTTTTTTCTGTTTCTTCTCATATGTGGAAATATTTATGTTTCAATTTATATCATAACCCAACCCCTTCTCTCCCTGACAAGATACTACATAGAAAAGCATTCTCGTTAGGCTATTCTTAGCTTCTGTGGCAAAGATTTTCCCTGTTTCATTGGGCATGGGAAGGCAGAGGGCTAGGGTTAGGGTCACCATCCAGGACATTTTCTGTAGGGCCCAGTATCGTGTGTAGAGCTTAATAGATGCCTGTTGCATTGGTCATTCCTGGATAAGACATGACAGCCTGTCGGGCTCTGGCTATCCCCTCTGGGCAGCCAGATTTTGCCCTGAGCAAGGGAGCCTGGTGGCACTGGCAGTAGAGCCAGGGATCTGGCCAGCTGGCTTCAAGACCTCGCCTTTTCCAAAGGATGCGACAGGTTGAAGTGAGCATCCCCCATTGCTGCATGTTACTGAGATGAGAGCTACTCATCAGTTCACACAAAATTTCAGTACAAAAAAGACACTGCTTTCATTTCTAGTCTCAAGACTAGACCTCTTCTGCTTTGACAGTCTCTCTGATTAGGAAAATAACAATGGCAGAAGAAACCTACCCAGCTTCAGTGGGCCAAATCAAATTTACCTGCCTTTGTCTTGGAAACCGCCACTGTCCTTTCAAGGGAGGTGTCTGGCAGAGACCGGGAAATGGGGCCAGCTTCCTTCATCTGGCCAGTTTTGCAGCTCCTCGGTGGGAGGGACCCTGGTCAACACCGTCCTCATCTGGTGATGAGGCTATGCTTCCACCTGACAGGTGTCTGAAGGTCTGCAGGCCTCTGGGAGGTGGGTGGTAGCAGAGGAGGAAGCAGGTGCAACAGACCAAGGGATTTTGAGGGGATGAGATGGGTGTTTTCCAGTATGTCAAGGGCTGCCTCGTGGTAGAAGTACTGGACCTGGCAGCCTTGGGGCTCTGCCTGGAGGTCTGTGAGCAAAGGCTGGAGGCCACTCACTGTTCATAAAGCGCTTTTCGGTACAGCTTGGACTAGAGGACCTGGAGGTCTCTTTGGGCTCACAGAGTCTGTGCTTCAGGCCCATGGCTGATATCTGACCTAAGGCTGGACACTGGATCTCCTGACTCCACCATGAGTCAGGGCTGTTTGTTTTCCAACTGCAGCTCAGGGGACCAGTAGGGCTCATGGATGGGCTTGGCAGAGCTGGCCAGCTTCAAGAAGCTCTTGGGATGGCTTGGGTAGGGGTGAACCATGGGTACACTGGACAAAAGCAGCTTCTTCTGTGTCTTGAGGCCTCCTGGCTTCGAAAAGAGATGCAGCAATGCCCTGTGGCCCAAAGACTTTCAGAAGCGTGTGTTCAGGTGGGGGGTGGGGAGAGGAAGGACAGTGCAGGGTCGAGTGGGACACTAGCATTGAGGGCTCATTGAAAGAACAAAACAAATTAGGATGTGAGATGATGGGGCTCAAGAATTCCTGAGCTAGGATGTGCTGCAGCCTCCCAGGCTGGAAAGCAGGACCATAGATTTAGGAGTGTACCCCCACCCCACTTTACAGTTAAGGAAACTGAGGCAAAGAACAGGTGAGTGTTTGCCCAGAGTCACATGACTAATAACGCATCTGTCCTTCCTGATTCCAAGTCACTGCCTGCTAGGGCACCTTAGAGCTTATTATGGTCAACCCTCTCATGCTGTAGATGAAGAAACAGAGGGGAAGTCATGTAGAGATGGAGGAGAACAAGCAGGATTTCAATTCAAGGTCTTTAAGTCCATGTATAGAAAGAACTCTTTCCATTGCATGCAGTGCCATGAAAAAAGTCTAAGAACATGTGGAAGGTAAAGCAAAAATAACCATGTTATATAAATTAAGTAAATATAAAACGTCAGTTTTAAGATTTAATTTGAAAATGATATTTCTATTCCATTTCAAACAATTCAGTATCATTTGTAAGATACAAAAGTAATTGCATGACATGCATTTGTGGAAGATACTTTTTGCATGAATGAAGAAACATTTATGAAGTACTTCTGTGTGTCAGGTAGTCTGCTAAGCACTGAGGCTACAAATACAAGTGATTTAGACAATTGCATTCTCATAGAAGGAGATACTGTAAATAAACTGTATGGTCCAGCCAAAGACCAACAAAATTGATTGAATGTTACCTGGCTAATCTGAAATTTAGCCTGAGGAATAAGGTTATATAGAGTGGGTTTGAAGAAGAGAACCAAAGGAAACTAAAGGGTGTGCAGAACTAGTTATGTGGAAGGGAGGTTCTCTCCCATGCCCAAGGCATCTTTTTACATTTCCCATCATTGGGTCCCTATCAAAGTAGCTGAACTACTACATGTGCCACATTGGTGGTGACGATGCTGCCTTGTTGGTAAAAACTCACTGACTGTTTGGGAAGGTCTCTACCTGTCCCTCATTAAAACATCCACTTCATTGTGTTGTAGAAGAGTTGGGGACAACTGGAAGAAGCTGCCAAAGAGCAAATTCAGGCTCCGTGTTATGAAAAATCTCCAGATGCTCCCAGTGGCCAAGATTGTGCAGGGTCATGAACGCTTGTGAATCAAGAGTCAGGAGGAGGAACTGGGCATGTGCTGTCAGGGTTTCAAAGACTCAGGAGGACACTCACTATAGTGAGGAAGAGAGGAGTGGACTCTTTCTTCTGCTTGGTCACAGGGCACACAAGGAACCAAAGGCCCAAGGGCTGATAGAATTTGGATGATGGGAGGAAACACTTCCTAAGAATTAATTATTGATGCGAGTGGAATGGGTTGTTTCTGGAGGAGGCACTTGTCCCTTCAACTGGAGGTCTGGAAGCACACTGCTCAGGGAGGCTGTAGAGGGGGCTCCTTGTTAAGGTATAGGCTGGACATGACCTTGGAGGTTCTACAATCTGTGATAAAGTCCCTAAGAGCTTACTAAATGACTTACTTGAATTCTTGCTAAGAGCTGAGTTAGTGGATACCTACCTCCTCTGCTGTCCAGGGGGCAAATTGTTTCCAAATTTTACTTTACAAAACAAAATACCAAACCCCTCCTCCTTCCAAACCCTCTGCCTTTCCCAGCTTCTCTGTCTCTTCATTGTCCTCCTGGAGTAGAGAGCAATGTTTTATTATTTACGCTACTTTTTGTCTTTTTCTTCATTTCAAATTGAATATTGGCGTTGAGCCTATCAGTAATTATGTCTTTTGTGGGTCATGCCCAAATCTAGCCCCTTCCTATGCCGAATTGTTCCTCCTGTTCCGATCAGGTAAATGTGGGAGGGGCCCCGAATCAGATGTTGTGTCCAGTAACCTTTTCCCCACTTTTCAAGGAATTGTGTGAAAGAGTATTCAGTGAGGGTAGTTCTGTCAATGCATTGGTTGTACATTTCTAGTGTTAAAACTCTTCAAAGACTGGTTTATCTTTTCTCGTGGAGAGTCAAGGGGAGCTGATATGGAAGGGTGTATGTGCGTCCATCTCAGTTTAAACTAACAAAATCGTTCATTGCTGCTTTCGAGTCCACTGGACAGTTAGGAGAATTAGACCCACTTCCATTTCCAGAACTTTATAAAGGTAGGCTTTGATAATATCTTAAAGTGTTGGTTCCTGTTAATGTTAATAACAGGAAAAATTACGTCGATGGAAAGTTTTTTTTTCTTAATTTCATGGCTAAATCTCATCATGTTAATATCCAATTGCAAAGTTTCAATTTGACTTGCTAGTTACAGTTGGAACAGCAGCTCATTGGCCTGTTAGATGAATATCAAAAACATTTCCAAAATTTTATATTTGAAAATTTACTGCAAGTATTTTATTTTATTTGATTATTTTTCAATTGTATGTTTGAAAGCCAAAGGCAAAGCACCAACAGAATGTAATGATATGAAATTCTCATTCAATAGATTGAGGACATAAACAATACGGGAACTGAATCAGCGTCAGAGGTAAACACATTTCTTTCAATGAAACATTCACCTAAAATTATCTGATTCATGAATTTTCTCTTTTTAATGAAAGAAAAATAGGTTAGAAGGGCACTTTTGTTGATGAAATACTTCACCAAGTAAGACCATAGTTTTACATTGTTGAATCTATAGCCAAAAATTATGTTGATGGAAAAGGTATTTTTTTTTCTTTCATGGCTACATCTAAAACAGCAGTTGGCATCAATTATAAATCCGCTGCCTAAGATCCTTGGTTTGAAGTATGCCTCCCAAGAGAAGTGTCTTGCAAATGAGCGGTGACCCACTACATTTTAGATGATTTCGAGTTGAATATTTTAAAGATATAGGCTTCCCTTTGATTCTTTACTCCCTTTATGTAGCATGCCCTCGAGAGAAGTAAAGGCACTCTGGTTCTCCCGCACTATTAAACAGCCCTGTGTGTTTGCATCTTACACAGTGGAAGTTCACTAACTACCCAGTATTGAAGAACCATTCCTTTCTACCCAATACGGAAACCCAACGTTCTAACAAATGATTTGATGGTGTTCCCTAGACTGTAGAGGCACAGGGCTGAGAAGCTTTATTTTAAGGGTATGTATCTGGGCTGCCTATCCCCCTGTATTAGATTTTTAAAAATCAGGGGCAAAACCAGATGGTATGGAAGGCACTAATTTAAGTGACTTGCAAGAAAACCATTTAAAATCTATTTTTAAGTAGCAAAAAGGCATATTTATAACATCGGATATTTGTTCATAGTAAATCATCGGGAAATATTTTGTGTCTTTTCATAGTAAAAACTGTTTATGAAGGGCTTTAGAATGTGGGCCTCACAAAGCTGATCATAACACATTAGGGTCACACTTGTTTAAGCCCTTCGAGTCACCGTCAGATTGTTTCCCAGCCCATTCACTCCGAGGACGTCTCTTCTGGGCCATCAGCACATGCATGTGCAGCTGTCATTTCTGATTGTTGGTCACCCGGTTAGCAACATCTCTATTCGTTTCCAAGTCTGATGAGCACCCGGGAGTGGATTTCAATAGGATAAACACACACACACAGACACACAGACACACACACACACACACACACACACAGCTTAGGAGCGTTGATGTAGTTGCTGCTAATGACTGGGGAGGGAAAAAAACCCTCTTTTTCTTCAAGTTACTGTTTGATAGAACCAGGATGTAACCGATCTGAGATAGTGGTAAGTCTCCGTGAAACTCAGATTTTGGGTAGCAAGAAGCATTCTAACAACCAACTTTTCGCACTAGGAAGGAGACGATTCGCTGCTTGTGACAGTGGTGCCTGTAAAATCTCACAAAACACCTGGAAAAATGCAAAAGGGTTTTGAGGACCTGGAAAGAGAACGTGAGGAACAGGAAAGGAACAGACATGAAGAGGAAAAGAGAATCCGGTACGAGGAACAAAGACGATCCCTCAAGGAAGCGAAATGCCTTTCGCTTGTTATGGTGAGTGTATCCTGTTCTAGAACCACCCGAGCGGCTCAAAAACCACCCAGTCTGGTCTCTAACGCGACCAATAGCGGCTCTTTGCCCATTTTCTTAGGATGAGGAAGCAGAGAGCCAAGGCACAAAGGAGTCTCTTTCTCCTGGAAAGCTGAAACTCACTTTTGAAGAAATGGAGAAAGAGAGACAAGAAAAGAGGAAGAGGCAAGCTGCGGAGGAGGCTCGACAGCGCCTGGAGGAGGAGAGACGGGCTTACGAAGAAGCCCGGCAGCAAATGGTAAAGAGGCGTCGCCGGGGAATCTCGAGGGGCTGGAATAACGATACTCCTTCCTGGAAATGTAAAAAATTGTCTCGCCCTGAAAAGGCCTGTTTTAGACATTTTTATGTGGAAAGACCTAATGACAGTGTTTTAAGTTTCATATTACAGTGTTCAGAATATAGCAACTAAAATATTTTGAAATCTCATTATCAGTATTATAATTTGACCTAAATGAAAATACTGTTCATCTTCTGAATTCCTTGTTCAAAAGGATCATGTTGCCCAAGAGATGTAAGATTTTTTTTTTTTGGTGAGGCAATTGGAGTTAAGTGACTTGCCCAGAGTCACACAGCTAGTGAGTGTCATGTGTCTGCGGTCACATTTGAACTCAGGTCCTCCTTGACTCCAGGGCCGGTGCTGTATCCGCTGCTGCCCCAGATGTAAGATATTTTTAAGTCCAGTATAGAATTGGGCCCTTTAAGACTGTGTCATAATATTATGGTATGGTTGATGGTCAGCCCTGGCCCCCTTCCTCCTACCCTCCCCCATGGAATACAGGTAGGGTAGTAACTTTTCCTTTCTTTTTTCCCCATTTTTTAAAAAACAAGGTAGTAGCTTTTCTCTACTTGCTCCTGAGTAGTTTCCTTATTTATGTGCGTCCCAGGTTCTGAGGCAATCCAGGGGGACATTCTGATATTTACTCACAAGTAACTAAAAATGAAACATTGCCCTCATTAATGAATCCATATGCTCGGGAGTCTCCACCATGGTTTATAAAAACAGGAGAAATGTCTTTTCCCCTAAGCCTTTGCTCCTCTACTAGTATCAAATCTCAGTTTCATAAGTGTAGACAAACTTTTGTGTTCCTGACTATATAACTTATTAATATTATAATAATGCAAAACCTATTGACACATTTCAACAATGTACCAGCTGTGAGAAAGGTCACAGCAGAATCACCACTAACTAGCAGCTGCACTGAAGACTCCTCCATGGACGTAGGAGCCTGATTTCTACTGGCACCATTTAGATCTCTCAGTTCTGTCAGTAAGTCAGTCAATAAGTACTTATTAAGTGCCTACTGTATGCCAGGCACTGTGCTAAGTTCTGGGATACAAAGAAAGAACCAAAAAAAAAATCTCTACTCTCTCTAGAAAGTCACAATCTAATGAGAGAGAGAACATGCAAACAACTAGGTATAAACAAGCTATATGCAGTAAGGCATAAGAAGACTGGAAAGGTTATATTCTTTGGAAACTGATATTCCTTGGTAAAAAACTGGATTTCAAAGTGAGAGATAATGAGGATTGGGGGATGGCACCAAGACTGTGAGCCTAGTGACTGGGGGATGAGGTTGCCCACCAGAGTAATAGGAAAGTTAGGAAGATACGGGGCTTAGTGTTGGACATGTTGAGTGTAAGATGTCTACTGGCTGTCTAGCTTAAGATGTCTGAAAGGCAGTTGGAGATGTGAGATTGGAGATCAGTAGAGAGGATAGGGTTGGAGAGGTAGATTTGAGAATCATCAGCTTAGAGATGATCATGGAATCCATGGGGGCTGAGGAAATCCCCCATCGAGACAACACCAAGGACTGGGTCCAGGACAGAGCTTAACAAACACCCACAACTAGTGGGTGTGGCCTGCATGAAGATCCCCCAAAGGAGACTGAGGAAGAGGGGTGAGATAGGGAGGAGAGGCAGGAAAGGCAGCAGAGATGGCCAGAAGGAGGAGGCCACTGGATTTGGCAGGTAGAAGATTTTTGGTAGCTGTGGGGAGAGCAGTTTCTGTTGAATGATAAAGCCAGAAACCAGAAGCCAGTGGCGAAGGTGAAGAAGAGAGCGAGAGGAGATGAAGTGGGGGAGTCTCTTCACGATGTCTCCTCAGAATCTTCACAGTTAATTAGCTTCCTTTCTCAGAAAGTTTTCTTGCTCCTTTCTCTGTCTCAGCCAGGAGGCTGACTCCCTTTCTCTCCAATGGTGGTTCCACTGCCACTTCCCATGGTATTTCTAGCCCTCTTAGAACGGTATCAGTGTCCCTCATTTTCTGTGGAAGGTGCTAGTGAAGTAGGGGGTGATAAAAAAGAGGAAAAATCAACCCTGACCTTTTCAATCATCAATTTAAAATATAAGTAGAGAGCTATGGGAAAGAGTGTCTGAACCCACCACTGATGGCCCAGCTTCTAAAGGAAATACTCTAACCTTCTGGACCCTTTGACTTTGTCCTTGGCAATGCTCTTTTCTCCTAAGTAGACAGTCTTTCGGAGGTCTTGCCATCAAACATTTGCCCCTTCTCAAGATGAACCTCTCAGCTGGTCCTTTGAGGACAGTCCCAGCAAGAGATCCTTGGGGCCATGCCAAAGGCCTGCTTCTGGGCTTCATCATGGTAGGGAGGCTCTGGCTTCTGGGAACTGCCCTGGAGTGAGCAGGAGGGAAAGAAGGAACCTTCAAAGAGACCTTTTTTATAACATGCATAAAATTTCTAATTTAGCAATTTTGTAAGTTCTGAGAAGCAGTAGAGACTGGCCTTGGCGTCAGCCTGGGTTAATTTCCTCCCCTGACACACCCTGGTTTTATAATCGCAGGTAAGGCTTTAACCTCTCAGTATCCCCAGGTGATTCTCTAAAAGCCAGTTGCAAAGTAGTGGTCAGTTGTCATCAATGGAGAGAGCTTCCACACTGGGAGTTCCCCACCTTCCTGAAATCAAGAGTCAGAAATCTGTGCCACCTCTAACCTTTCCCTTCACCTTCAGGATGTTCTCCTAAAGGATGTCTGAGGTCTGAGTTCCTTCACATTTGACCCCTATTTTTAAATACAGACCTTTGCCTTGGGCAGGCCAATGAAGAGGAGGGCAGCCGTGAAATGGAAAATTCTCTTCGAGAATCTCATCGCCCTGGGAAACTCAAGCTCAGCTTTGAAGACATAGAAAGGCAAAGAAGAGAAGAAGAGAAGAGGAAAGCTGAAGAAGAAGCCAGGAGGCGAATAGAAGAAGAAAAGAGAGCTTTTGCAGAAGCTAGGAAGAGCATGGTGAGCAGTGGGTGTCCCCAGAGAGGAGTGGGCTTGGAGCACATGCCTGAGATGTACAGTTACTGAGAGAGACAAGAGGCAGAGAGAGGTCCAGAAAGGAAAATTCCAAAGGGAGAAACCAGCCCCTTACAGATCTTGCCAAGGGTCAGAGGACCCTCTTAGCTCAGGCAAAGAGTTCAAACACTCCAGTTGTTATCTTCTTAGTTCAGGAGGAAGTTTTGGGGTGTGTGTGTGTGTGTGTGTGTGTGTGTGTGTGTGTGTGTGTGTGTGTGTATTTAAGGTGAACTGCAAACTTAACCATGCTAACCTTTCCATGTAAAAAAATGTGTTCAAGAGTGTCTGAACCTGAGCTGGTTTTAGAAACCAACTTACAAAGAGACCTGTGGATTGGAACACAATGGTCTACAAAATAGTGAACAACTATGAATCATGGGAAAAAATTAGCTCCAAGGGGCTGGCATCACTGACCCCTTTGATAAAACAAAAACCAAAGACTGTCTGCTCCTACTTCAAAGACTTATTAGAGTCCAGTTGATGCATCTTGGAGTTTATGTTGTCCTGATGACCTACACATTAATGGGACAAAATTGTAGAATTGGAAGGTATTGTGAGGGCTATCCACAGTCCAACTTTCCTGTGTCTCTGACTGTTCTCTTTTGAAGACGTCCAGAAGAGACACATTCTTTTGAAAAACCCAATTTTGAAAATCATTGACATAAAGAAAGCCCCTTATTTCTAACCCAACAATTCAAATTTATTTACTACTGCCCCCTCATTTGGACAGTACAGTGCTCAACACCCCCTCTCTTTGCAGTTGTCCTGAAAGCTCCCAGGAATGTGAATTCAGAAACAAAATGTTTCTCCTTCATCTTCTCTGTCTCTTTCTTGGGGTGTGGTGGAAGAGTCAGAAGTGACTTATTTGTAGATGGCAGAAATTGGGCTTGAAGTGGTTTGAATGGCCCCAAAGTTGGCTTTCCCACCACAACACCATGTGTGCCTCTCAGTGATCTTCCACAATATGGATTTATCCTTTTCAAAACGCCTCCACCCACTTTAGACCCTTTCCACTTTAAACTCTATGATCTTGCCCTGTCCTCAGAGTAGGGAGGCAGGACAAACATTGTTGAATCCTTCTTAGAGAAGAGGAAGAAAAGGCACCGAGTATGTCAACTGACTCGTTCTGGGTCATATAGCTAGAATCCAGACCTGGCTTCTGGTCACTCCCAGGCTCTTTCAACCACAAAAAGTCCCTTTGCCTTTATTTTTAGCATGTGTATCATCAAAATTAAGCTTCCCCTTTTTTGATTGGTCTACAAAAACAGTAAATAGTTATTTTCAACAGGTCCTAGACAGCGATTCTCCAGAGATCTACAAAACAGTTTCACAAGAATCCCTGATACCAGGGAAACTAGAAATTAATTTTGAGGAGTTATTGAAACAAAAAATGGAAGAAGAAAAGAGACGGACTGAGGAGGAACGGAAGCATAAACTGGAGATGGAGAAACAGGAATTTGAACAACTGAGACAAGAAATGGGGCAGGTAAGCAGTTAGTATTAAGACATTTTTTGAAACAAGAATACATCCTCTCCAGGCATCAGTTACATAGGGGACAGGCATCGGTCTGTAGTTGAGAGCTCAGCATTAGAGTCAGGAGACTAGGGTTTGAGTCCTTTCTCTGATATGTCCAGTGTCTGCTGCGTGACCGTGAGCAAGCCTCGATTCCCTCACGTGGAAAATGACTGTGGAATTTACCTTTTGATGCACAAATGATACCATGAATGTTGAGCACTTGCAACTTCAAAATGCTGTGACAATGGCAATTACCACTGGCAGGAAAGTGCCCTTGTTAGAGAGCATCAATGGGGCTGCTGGGAGAGCCCCTGGAAGGTCTCTCCTCAAGTGCTACCAGCCTGGGCCTGGTTTAGCATCCTCTCGTCAACATGGTGGGCAAAAGTGGAGACTCATTCATTCATTCAGTCATTCAACAACTCTTATGTGCAAGATACTGGGGTTACATAGAGAGAAGACAAAATTCCTGCTCTCAATAAGCTTAGACTGCAATGGAGAGGGATAAGAATGTATACTAATAACTAGGATACAAGGAAGACAGGGACAAATATGCAGATGTCAAAGAAAAGTGCTATGAAAAATTTGAGCTTGAACTGGGGGGAGAGGATAAGGGAAGGTTTCCTAGAAGAGGGAACAGTGATGGGCAGAGCAAAGTATCTGTGGTGGTCAGTCACCTAACATGCATTTATTAAGTTCTTACTGTATGTCAGGTATCATGCTAGATGCTGGGGACCTAAAGGAAGGCAAACACAAGACATCTAGAGGAGAGACGAGGCAAAATGAGAGAAGGCATTGGGATGGCCTGTGTGTGCATTTCTGTATTTGCATCCCCTAGAGAAAGTGAGGAAGGCCCCCATCAGAGTGGGCGCACCTTCCCTGGTGAACTTACGGGAGGGTATGGACCAGATGTAGCCAAATGATGCAGGCACAGATGGGTCATGATTTTTATCACTGGTGTCCCCATATGGGAGGTTACAGATTCAGTATTTGAGAAATCACTAATACTTGATGGGATGAGAAACAAAAATGGGATGTGGCTCTGGGCGAGTCTACTCTTTTTAAAAGCAAAGAGGATAGAGAGGCAGAATGGTGGTGGGGTAGCAAGGTGGGGCAGGGTATCAGTGCAGATTAAGTAGGCATACTCATATGAGGAAAACTAGGAACTGGAGGGCCAAAGCATGGTGGGAAGTATTTGGGGGAAGATCAGGGGACAGATTTTTGGGATACTCTATATAAATGAACTATTATTATTCCTCCAATTTTTGAAAGAGAAAATTATTGTGAAGGTAGTTTAAGAAATTAGCTTTTCTGCTTTTGGCATAAAGTTCCACCAGATGTCCAGATAACTGGTTTCCCATTGGTCCATAGCATTAGCCTCTCTATGCCTGGTTTCTGATTCATTCTCCCAAATTCATTTGGTTCTTTTTGCCCAAGTGATCTGATTATTAAAATTGCTTCCTTTTCTGCCTCCACTGAGATTCATCCAAATGTCCTCTGTTTCCTCCTGTTTTCTGGATTTCCTCATCTACATATGCCTTGACATCCAATGCCTTCTTCTTCCCTATCCCTTTTGGAATAAGGTCTGCCCATGCACAGCCATATAAATATATACATATATACATAAACACACACATATTTATGGTGAGACCTTGAATTCTCTTGATTTTTGACTATACTTTGTGAATTTCTTTTTAACCCTTGGATTATCTTTGGTGAACTTTAGTGTGCTGTGATTGCTTTTCTTCTCACACTACTCTATGGTAGCAAATTTGTTGGATATCTGTAGGGATTTTTTTCTGTGCCTATCATGTTCAATTTTAGTGTGTCAAGATTGTTTTGCGTGCTATCTTCCACTGTGGGCTACCCCTCTCATTTTGTGCCATTTAAGCCTTCATTCAGGTCAACTCAAGAAACATTAGATGCTTGTAATCTGCAAGACGCTGTGAAAGGTGTGGGTGATATAAAGACAAAAGAAGCCATTTCTCCTCTCAAGAAGTTCATACTTTATGGAAGAGGAAGGGGCAACGATGCAATATGTACACAAATAAATACAAAATGTATTGTACACAGTAACTTCAAGTGGGAAAGACTGTTGACAGGGGAGGGGTGAGGTCAGGAAAGGATTTGTGGAGGAGGCAGCAACTGAGCTGTCTTTATAGGAAGGCTTGCTACAATTCAGACATTTTCAGACCAGCTGGGTAAAGATGGGAGATGGGATGTCACCTATCAGGAATAGGTAGGCAAGCCTGTGCAATAGCAGAGACCTCAGAGTTGTATGGAGTGAATGGAATGGACATGAAATACAACAAACAATACAAAACAACAGTATTTGAAGGCTTGTCAGCTCAGTAGAACAAGGTTAAGACTCCAGGGCTGCCTCTGTGCCATAAGAAAACGATGGAGTTGGATGTAGAACACGTCCAAGTGCTAACCCAGCAGGACAAGTTATAAAGAATTATAGCCTTGCTTCTTGTCAGCCTTACTTCTGAGAACTTCACATAGGGTTTGAAGAAAATTTCCATCGAGATAGAGGCAGGCTTTTGACTAGAGTTGTCCGAGGTACCAGCAACAGCTAATCACACTAGAGAGACTGTAGCTGATGAGGGAATGTAGGGTAGGAGGTAAAGTGATTTACTGAAAGCCAGTTCAGTTGTACACTCAGGACCGGACCCATCGTGTGGTGGGAAGAGCGCTGGGTTTTGTAGACGAGTTTCTTCGAAAGTTCGACTTCGGGCAAGTTACTTACCATCTTGGAGCCTCAGTTTCCAAAGTAAAAGCCCTGTAAAATGAGGGCTTTGGAATAGACACTCCTTTCCTCTATTTTTACTGATGTCTTGTGTTTTATGCCATCAGTTATGCCCAGGACCCATCCTTCTCCCAGAGAGCTATCCCATATAACAAATAGTAATTTTTGAGGGAACAAAATCAGCACAACTGATTGATGTATTGGAAAAATCTGAAAACACATCCAATGTGTAACCCCTGTGGACCTCCCCCCTCCACAAAAGGGCGGGTTGGGAGTGTCTTCCTATCTCTCCTCCCGTGAGTCCCACTTGGTCTCTGTAACTTTGTTTCATCCCCTTTCGATTTTTGGCATGCGGTTGTTCTGTCCATGTGTCTTGTTTCCGTGGCTCTGCTGCTTTTCCTGCACATCAGTTCAGAGAGATCTCTTTGTGCTTTTGGGTATCCATCGTGTTGATTTCTTACAGTACAGTCAGATCCCAGTACACTTCATGGACTACAGTTTTTTTTTCTTTCTAAATTTTAATTTAATTTATTTTTGTTACATTTTAAGCTCTAAATTGTCTCCCTCCACATCCTGCACTAGAGAAGGCCACCATTTCACACACACACACACACACACACACACACACACACACACACGACCATACTGTGCATACTTCTATTTATCATTCCTTCTCTAGAGGTGGTTAGAATCTTTCTTCATAGATCCTTTGTAGTTGATTTGAATATTTAGAATAGTTAGAATAGCTTAATAATTCACAGTTGTTTTTGGAACAATACTGTTGCCACTGTATCCAGTGTTCTCTTGGTTCTGCTTATTTTGCTCTTCATTGTTTCATGAAAGTCTTTCCGTGTTTTTTCTAAAATCAGCTTGCTTATCCTTCCTTACAGCACAGTGGTCTTCCATCACAATCACATAAGACAACTTATTTAGCCATTCCCCAACTGATGAGCATCCCTTCAAATTCTAGGTCTTTGCCACAACAAAGAGAGCTGTTATAAATATTTTAAAAGATATGTTTTTGGTTTGTTTTTTGGCTTTTTTCCCTGATTACTTTGGGAAACAAACCTAATAGGGCTATTGCTGGGTCAAAAGGTACAGTTTTATAACTCTTTGGGCATAAATCTAGATGGCTCTTTAAAATGATTGGCTTTGTCAACAACAGTGTATTAGTGCCCCAATTTTTTTGCATCCCCTCCAACATTTGTCATTTTCCCCTTCTATCACTTTAGTCAATCTGATAGGTATGAAATGCTATCTCAAAATTGCTTTAATTTGCATTTTTCTAATCAATAATAATTTAGGCCATATTTCATATGACTATTTATAGCTTAGATTTTTTTTTCATCTGAAAACTGCCTGTTCATATCTTTTGACCATTTATCATTTGGGGAATGACTTATATTTTATACATTTGACAAAGTCCTCTATATATTTGACATATGCAACCTTTATCCAAGAAACTATCTATATGAACCACCACAAGATTAAAGGCTCCTGACACCATGGCCTCATTCATCCCAGTCAAATATGCCTTGCATTACAGTCCAATAAGCATAACATTGTCAATAAAATGGTAGACATCAATCCCCACAGGAAGTCTGGACTCTATCAGGTCTGTCTACCAAATTTGACAGTAAAGAGTCCCTATAAATCTAAGAGACAGATGAAAGTATACTGAACTTCTCACTGATGTCAATAATCCCATACTAGTCCTGTCCAGTCAGGATCAGATTAGAAATGGATTCAGTAATCAGCATAAAGACACTATTCAATTCCTGATACTATTAACATCCAGGTCCATTCTGCGTTGTTCTTTTTTTTTTTTTTTTGGCATTTTAAAAAATTTATTTATGTTGATTTACCAACAATCACTTCCATAAGCTTTTGAGTTTCAATTTTTTTCACCCTCCCTAAGACAGCATGCAGTCTGATATAGACTATACATATACATTCTTATTAAACATATTTTCACATTAGTGATGTTGTAAGTAAGAATTAGAACCAATAGGAGGAACCACCAGAAAGAGGAAACAAAACACAACAGAAGAAAAAAAAATAGCCAACAGTATGCTTTGATCTGCATTCAAACTCCATAGTTCTTTCTTTGGATGTGGATAGCATTTTCCATCATGAGGCCTTTGGAGATGTCTTACATCCTTGTATTGCTGCAAAGGGTTAAGTCTATCAATATTAGTACCTAACTGATTATGTAATCCCCTCTTGAGCCAAATCTGATGAGAGTAAGGTTCAAACAATGCTCATCTCCCTCCCCTCTTTCCCTCTGCTTTAATAGGTTTTTGTGCCTTTTCCTGTAATGTGTAATTTACCCTTGTCTGCCTCCTCCTTTCCTTTTCTCTCAGTACCTTATTTTTTTTAAATGCAGAAATATTTATTTTGGTTTCCTTTGTTATTTTTTGGAAATTCTGTTTTGGTTTATAAAACATAGAAATAGCCAACACTGAAAGCAAACATCCAAAACTCCAATGTGACAAATTACTGACTTAGATATTTGTGCAATTCAGAGCACACATTACGAAGTTAGGCTACGAAATACTGTTATTACAATGACATCTCTTTAGTGCAAACCTTGTGTTTGAGTATTACATATAATCCCATGTATCCAAAAAACAGAATCACTTTAAATGACAACTTAATTCATTCAAATGTGGGCAAGACCTGTAATAATTGAAATGTTGCCAACTTCCCCAATTAGAATAAAAGTCCCTCAGGAGTTACTCCTAGGAAAAATTGTTTTTTTGCCCCCAGATTTACACATCCCCCTATTAGTTAGCATTTATTCTGGCTTGTTGATCAGTACATTTTCTTAGAACAGATTAATCCACTTACTTGGATCCACTTAACCCACTTGATCAGATTTTTTTTTATCATTACATCAAAGTCAACTTATACCCACCCCATTTATGTATACCCCTTTAACATGGTGTAATAACAATACAGTTCTCAAGCATTACAAGTGTCATCTTCCCTAGTAGGGATACAAACAGTTTGCCCTTATTAATAACATGTTGGTTTTTTTTCTGTCCCATTTACCTTTTTATATCTCTCTTGAGTCTTGTATTTTAAGATTAAATTTTCTGGTCTTTTTATCAGGAAGGCTTGGAAGTCCTCTATTTCATTGAATATCCATCTCCTTCCCTGAAACATCATGCTCATTTTTGCTGGGTAGTTGATCCTTGGTTGTAATCCAAGCTCCTTTGCCTTATGGAATATCATATTCCACACCCTACAGTCTTTTAATGTAGAAGCTGCAAGGTCCTGTGTAATCCTGATTGTGGTTCCATGATATTTAAATTGTTTCTTTCTGGCTGTTTGCAGTATTTTCTCTTTAACCTGGAAATTTTGGAATCCTGGCTACTATATTCCTTGGTGTTTTCAATTTGGGATCTCTTTCAGGAGGTGATTGGTGGATTCTTTCTATGGTTATTTTACCCTCTGGTAAAATATCTTGGACCTCAGGGCAGTTTTCCTTTATGATTTCCTGAAAGATACTATCCAGGCTCTTTTTTTCATCGTGATTTTTAGGTAGACTAATAATTTTTAAATTGTCCTTTCTGGATCGATTTTCCAGGTCAGTTGTTTTACCAATGAGATATTTTACATTTTCATCTATTTTTTCATTTTCTTTTTTGTTTGACTGATTCTTGCTCTCTCATAGAGTCATTAGCTTCCATTTGCCCAATTCTAATTTTTAACAAATTGTTTTCTTCTAGTAGATTTTGTACCTCCTTCCCCATTTGGCCAATTGTATTTTTTAGGGACTCGTTTTCTACAGTTAATTTTTGTCCTTCCTTTTCGAAGCTATTGACTCTCTCTTGCATACCTCTTATTTCTCTTTTCCCATTTTTTCTTCTACCTCTCTCATTTGACTTTTAAAATCCTTCTTGAGCTCTTCTAAGAAGGCTTTTTGGGCTTCAGACTAGTTCATATTGCCTTTTGAGGTTCCAGATGTGGGTTTGTTGACAATGTTGTCCTCTTCAGAATTTCTGCCTTGATCTTTACTCTTTCTCATAGTAAGAATCTATTGTACATTTTGGGTTTTTTTGCTCATGGTGTTTGCTTATTTCCTGGACTTTAAAGAGATTGAGCTCTCCTGCTGGGGAGCAGAGGGAACTGACCCAAGCTTCTTGTATTGGGATCTTTAGGCCTGGTCACTGGCTTTGTGTGCTGGGGCCGCCAATGCTGGCAGTTGTAGGCTGTAGGGTTCTGGCAATTTACCTGGTGTTGGGCTGGAATCAGCAACACTGGAACCCTAGGGGAAAGATTGGGTAGTGTGGCTCTTGGAGATTTCCTGCTCACCAGGGCCTTTCCTTTTCCCACCTTTTGCTTTCTTCAGCTCCTTCCAGATGGATGTTGCAGGATGTTTATCCACCTGCAGTCCCTTGGAGTGCTGCTTCCCTTAGCTTTGCTGAGGTACCTGGTGGTTTTCTGAGATGGTTTCCACTGGTTCCCCTGCCCTCACTGAGGCACTCGGGGGGTCCAGGTGTTGGTGTTTGCCTGATCCACCACCTGGGCTTCAGGATCTCCCCCTGGTATGCTGAGGTGGGGCTTTCCGCTAGCTTGCTGGGATGCCTCCCATTCTGTATTGCTCCCCTTTCCCCAGGGCAAAAGGGGCCTTTCCTATTAATCCCTCAAGTTACCTGGGCTACTGGACTGCTGCACCCCATCTTTCTTCTGGTTTAGCTGTTCCAGGGTTTTTCCTGGGGTGATATTTTCTGGGCTTTCAGAGGTTAATAAAGGAGGGTAAGAGTGACTTACTTCTTACTCCACCATCTTGGCTCCTGGAAGTGAAAGTCTGGGCTATGGTTTTTTAGCCATACCCCAATCAGTGAGCATAATCAGTGCTCTTTTCCCCAACTCTACTAATACTGGGAAAATTCTAGTTTTGAGAAAATGAGTGTATCTTAGATAGTGTTTATGTATACTTTAGATGTTATGCATGTTTTTACTGCATATTCAAATATATCAATATTAGTTGCATTTAAAAAAATTTTGAAAAAAATAAAAACTACAATTCAAGTGGAATAAAAAGCAATCACCATCCCAAGTCCCAATGCCTGGCAGTAACAGTTCGTGTGTCTATAACCTCCTGCATAGGCTCTTTCCATATTATCCATCCCTTTTTGATCCACACAACCATTCTATGAGATAGGTGCTATTCTCATCTTTCACTGATTCAGGTATGACTTTTTTTTTTTTGGTGAGGTAATTGGGGTTAAGTGACTTGCCCAGAGTCACACAGCTAGTATGTCATGCATCTGAGGCCACATTTGAACTCAGGTCCTCCTGACTCCAAGGCCAGAGGTCTATCCACTGCACCACCTACCTGCCCCCAGGTATGACTTTTAAAAGGGAGTAATGGTGGTGAGGCTACAGAGAAAATGGCTACAGAGTAAAAGACAAGATGCAATGATAAAGCTTTTTAAAAATAGAAAATGGGTATGAAAATAATCTATTTTCTAATGGATGCCCTTTTGTGGCAAAGTGTTCAATTCTGGTTAAAAATGAAAAGTTAAATTTTTGGTAGGTTAAAAATAATCATTATATGAACTTATTTGGTGATATTGTTTACAATCTCATAAGATTTTGATTTTTTAAGGAGGAAGAGGAAACAGAAACCTTTGAGCTTAGCAGGGAGTATGAAGAATTAATTAAATTAAAAAGGAGTGGTTCTATTCAAGCTAAGAATTTAAAAAGCAAGTTTGAAAAAATTGGACAACTGTCTGAAAAGGAAATACAGAAGAAGATTGAAGAAGAGCGAGCTAGAAGAAGAGCAATGGACCTTGAGATCAAAGAGCGAGAAGCAGAGCATTTTCACGAGGTGAGTCTTCACACTGAATATATTGGCATAAGCTCTCCACCAAGAGGAAAGAGTGAAAGTTCTGGGGAGGGGCCCAGTGTAACTAGAAGAGCCTTGCAAACAGGAGTCAGTTAAAATCTCAGGTCTTCCCCCTACTACCTGTGTAGATAGCTAGTGGGCCAAGATGTGAGTTCAAACCCAGCCTTACATTTGGTGGCTAGCTATTGACCCTGGGCAAGTTACTGAACCTGTTTGCCTCAGTTTCCTCAACTGTAAAATGGAGATGATAATACCCACCTTGAAAGGTTGGTGGGAGGATCAAGTGAGATGTTTGTGCCTGGCACATAGTAGGTGCTTAATAAATGCTTCCCTTCCTGCCCTGCTGCCTCCCCACCCATTACATACTTTTGAATGATTGACATCCTACAAATTCACAATGTGTGGTGTCCTCCAGCAAGTTAATATGGTTGTCATTTTCTTCCTTTGTAAAATGTGGGGATTCAGTTAGATGAGTCCTTCCCTTTCTAAATCTTCTCCTGTGAAGCAAAGACACCAAAATTCTGCCTCAGGAGGCTGAGGGAAGATGACACGTTTTTTCTAAGGCTCCCTTGCTACTAAAACTTGCTTTTCCTTACTTTCATCTTCAGAGTAAGCAAAATCTCTCCAGAAGTAGGTCATCCTTTTTGAGAAGAGGAGTGGGGAAATATTTTAGTTTAGCTTTTAAAGTTTCTCTGAGAATAAAAATTAAAGTCATAGGGGCCCATGTCAGGATCACAACTCACTTGAAAGACCTAAAACGTTGAGTAGATTTGAACTTTCATCATAATAAGCTAGAAGCCAAGGAAGGCCTTGTGATCTTAAGGTATGTTTGTTTACTGAAAGTCGAGGGAGGTTCTAGATGTGCTTGACTCTGCCTCAGTTAGACCACATCTAGGATTAGGGTATCCCAACCCCTACATCTAGTGTACCAAGTGCAGTTTTTTAGGAAGGATATCAACAAGCATATTCGAGAAGGGCAAGCAGATGGATGAAGTCAACAGTATACTACAAAAAGACTGATTAAAAGAACTGGGGATGTTTACCCTGGAGGAAAAAAGACTTGGAAGAGGAAGAAAAGGAATATGGTAGTTTTCTTCAAGCATTTGAAGGGCTGTTATATGAGAAAAGGGTCTTAACGTTTAGAAATGGAAGGGACCCAAGTCCTTATTTTGCAAAAGAGGAAACAGACACCCAAAGAAGTGCACAGTCAGCAAAATATCTGGGTCTCAAACCAGGTCCTTTGAATCTAAATCTTCTCGTTTCCATTACACAATGGAAGAACTGGGAGTAATGGATGTTGATCTCCCCCTAAGTTGAGCTTTGAAGCAAGTTATGGATTGTTGAGGCAGAGGTGGGGAAGGAGTGCTTTCCAGGCACAGGGGACAGTGTCTACAGACTGGAGATAGGAAGTTGTGTGTAAATAAAAGTAAGTTATATATAATGTCTGGAAAGATAGACTGGAGCCAAATTGTGAAGGGCTCTTAATACCAAATAAAGGTGTTGGTATTTGATCCAAGAGGCAAAAGGGAGCCAGACCTTCATGATCAGGGGAGTCACATTGGCAACTGTGTGGAGGAAGGCCTGGCGGAGGGAGACTGAAAGCTGAGACACCAATTAAGAGGCTATCAAAATGGCAACGTATGGAGCCCCTGGCACTAGCCTGTTGGCCATGAGTGGAAAGGTGAACTAATGGGAGGGCCACAAAAGAGTTGAGACTTGGCAAATTAACTGGATGTGGGAGGAGAGTTGTCAGGGATGACTGAGGTTGTGAATGTAGGTGATAGCAAGGATGGTGGTGCCCTTCATCAACCAGGAAGACTGGAGGGAAAGAGGAGTCTGATTTGGCACATTGAAATGTCTAGGGAACATCTAATGGGAAGTGACCCAGTAGGCAGTCAGCAATGCAAGACTGGAGCTCTGGACAGAAAAAGCAGGTCTGGGACAGATGGAGGAGTCATCGAGGTAGTGGTAACTGTTGTTTCCCAAGCTCCAGGACAAGTTCGGTGCCATCCCCAACTGCTGCTCTCATCCTTCCTCCCTTTCTGCTTTTCCTATGTCCTACATTCATTCCTCCCCAATTCCCACAAGTCCTCTGGGATCCTTCACCCAAGACTCCATTTGCTGTCCCGCATTCCCATCTTTACACTACCCTCTGGTCTTAGCTACAAGTCCTACCTTTTGCAAGATTGCCAGGAACGCCTTCCCTCTGTTGCTTACCTCCGATTTATAACGTACACACCTCGTTTACACACAGTTGTTTGCATGTAGCTGTCTATTTATAGTCCCAGAACCTAGCGTGGTGCCTAGAGCATAGCAGGTATTAATAGCTGCTTGCCCTTAGGACACACCTAGCTAGGAAATCAATCAACATTTATTCAGTGCTTACTATGTGCCAGACACCGTACCAAGGGCTAGAGATACAAAGAAAGAAAAAACAAAGTCCAGGCTTCCAAAGGGTTTGCAGTCTAATGGGGCGGCTTGAGTAACGAGGTACAGAGTAAATGGAGGGAACCAGAGACAGGAGAACATCATGTTGAGGGAACAAGGTGGCCAGCATAGCTTAGCGTGAGTAAAAAGTTAAGAAGATTGGGAAAGTAGGAAGCAGCAATTATATTTAATATTGGATGTAACAGGGAGCCCAGTGGCATTTACTGAGCATGTGTATGTGCATGCACGTGACAGGCAGACTTAGTCTTCAGGAAATTACTTGCAGCTAAGTGGAGGATGGATTGGAATCGAAAGATACTTGAGGCCAGACCAATCAGAAGATTACTGCTAACACTTCTAAGAGTTGGGCGATGAAGGCCTGCATGAGGGTGGTAGCTATGCAAGTGGATTGAAGATGTGTATGAAGGTAAAAGTGACAAGTTGACAACTGATGCTCTAGTAAAGGAGAATGAAAACTGACCAGATTTAGGAGGCCCAATGCTAGAGAAAGGTTAAGAAGGGACTGATAAATTGCCATCCAGTTGTTGAAACTGCTGGTTAAACTTTGGAGAGGGAGAGGTCTCAGTAGAGTTGATAAAGCTGGAAGCCAGATTAGATTGGAAGAGGCTGAGAAATAAGGGAAGGAGGCAAGGTGTGTAGCCAACTTCCGTGAAGTTAAGAGATATAGGAAAGAGCTTGAGGAGTGGTATTGTGAAGTAAAGATTAACCTGGGCATGTTTAGAGTGGCAAAGGAGCCAGTAAGGAGGTGTAGGAATACACAGTAGGCACAACTGCTGTCATGGTGGTCTGCTGGACACAGGTGGGGTGAGATGAAGGGGATAACTAGAAAGTGGGCCATCTCTTTATCAGAAACAAAAGGAAGGAGCAGGAAATGGGAGATAGTACTAAATGTACAGAATACTTTGAGAATTCAGAGAACTTCCAACTGGAGGAATAAAACATTGTGAAGTAACATCTAATTCAAACGCCTTCCTTGGAAGCTCAGGGAGGATGTTCTTCTCAGAAAACAAATTTAAAAATCATTTCATGAATAATTGTGAAGCGTCTGCAGGAAAATGAAATCTTTCAAGCAGCACAGAGGGTGTGAGAGCAGTCTTACAAGACCAAAATTTCACCCACGTGTGGCCACTGCAATCTATGATTCTTAAAGTTATATGTGTCAATTGTTTCTTCAACAAGGCTGTGAAAAGATTTAGGGTGGAAATTATTACATATGCTTTTCATTGTGCCTATGAGCATTCCAGACCTTAGACACCTCCTGCTAGGGAAGGAAGAGATCTGGGATCATAGCAACATCCCATTATTATCATCATCTCTAAGGCCCCAGGTAGGCAAATTGATTGTCCTTGATTAAGAACTGACCTATTGTGTTCCAGAAGAACAGAAAGATCCTTATCATTACAGTAATGCATCAAGATGAAATGACCTGGGTTATTAATTAAATTCAGACTTCTTCTTTGTTCTTATTTTAAAAATCCTTCATAAATCCCAAGGAAGACGATGTTGATGTGAAGCCTGCCCAAAAATGTGAGGCCCCCTTCACTCACAAAGTTAACATGAAAGCTAGATTTGAACAGATGGCGAAGGCCAGAGAAGAGGAGGAGCAGAGAAGAATTGAGCAGCAGAAGCTGTTACGCATGCAGTTTGAGCAGAAAGAGATTGATGCAGCACTCCAGAAGGTTGGTACAATGAACCCTGAGGCTTAAAGATGAGGGCCATGCACCATGGGTGTGTGGCTCATCCAGTTTCCTGGATGTGTTGTTTGGCCATAAGTATCATGGTGCTAGGCTCATTTCTCCCTCACTACATTGAGTATTGGCTTAATCTGGATTTATGGACGTCACTGATTCTGGTCCAAGTGAATGGTTTCTAAATCCACCCATTTGATACAGTAGTTTTAGTAACGCAAGTCCTCCCTGCATCTGTTTCTTTTACCACAGAAAAAAGAAGAGGAGGAGGAAGAGGAAGGAGGCACCATTAATGGCTCCACACTCGAAGACAGAGAAGAACAAACTCGGTCTGGAGCACCGTGGTTCAAGAAGCCTCTAAAAAACACGACCGTTGTAGACGGTGAGCCAGTACGATTCACTGTGAAAGTAACCGGAGACCCCAAGCCTGAAGTCACGTGGTGGTTTGAAGGAGAGAGGTTACAGGATGGGGAGGACTATCAATACATTGAAAGAGGAGAGACCTACTGCCTTTACCTCCCAGAAACTTTCCCGGAAGACGAAGGGGAATACATGTGTCATGCAGCCAACAGCAGGGGTACTGCGGCCAGCACCTGCATCCTCACCATTGAAAGTAAGAGCTAACTCTAGGTCCCGTCCCCCCTCTCTCCCCCACTACCTACTTAGCTCCTTCTCTTCTTAGCAAGAAAATCACTAATGTCTGGTTTTCTCTTCTCTTCTAGCTGACGACTACTAGCTTTTCTTTCTCTGGAACCTTCCTTCTTCTCCTCAATTTCCTACTGCATCTGTCTCTTTCTGTGGAGGGGCCAAGTATGGGAATTCAGGAGCTATCATGGCCATGCTAGATCTAAAGGCTTACCATGGAAGCCTGAAAGACTGAATAAAATGAGGGAAAAAAATCTATCAGTAATCACTTGAGAATTCCAACGTCCCTGTTTCTGTAACATGTAATCCAATGGTATACATTTGAACCTTTCTGATCTAAAAGCTATGCTTATTTTTAAGCAGGGTGAACTTATGTGACCCCCAAAATGCCTATTCAAAATGGAAGCAAAAGAGGGTGAAAAGATCAGAGACAGGTATTTAAACTATATAAAACATGCTCTTAGTCAGCCTCAAGGGACAGAAAAAAGCATATAGACAACAGGCTAACTTTATCCACCCAAACTAGAATCAATCAGCCATGCCTTACTAATACATTAAAACTTTGAAGGTGAACCAATTTTGATTGATAGCTTTCTTCAACAATGTTAAATTCAGATCGTTTCTGAGGACCTTCATCTGAAGAGAGATTTTGGTAAGAACTTAAAAAAAAATTTTTTTAAAGGGCATATTATAAATTCTAAATGTAAAACTTACTGCCAATGTATCAAAGTTCTGAGACTTCTGAGTATTAATATGAGTAAAAGAAGTTGATTTTACCCAAATAAATTATATTAAATTGGCTCACAATTCCACAAAAGCTTCTGAAAATTCAGAAATTTCATACTAACCAGTTCATAAAACTTCATATGACTTAAAAAAAAAAGCCCTGATATCTGTAAAAATGAGTAAACTGAAGCTTAGAAGCTCTGGAAATGATGAGGAAAGAAGAGAAGTTTTATAAACAAATTTCAAACATCTCAAGTTAAACTTGTAGGTTAGATTTTGGTCTTTTGAAATGAGTTTGTAAATAATCTTAACTCTTACGTTCTTTATTCAAACTTTTCTTATTTTAACTTTCTGGAAGATAGAATTTTATTTTCCAATGTAAAAATAAAAATAAAGTAAATTCTGTATTAAAACAACCTCTCTGGTTATTCTCAAGTAATAACTTGCTAAGGATAGAAGCTCTCAGTTTTATTGACATTTCTAGGGTCAGTTCCTTTTTAAAGGGCAGAAGATGTTATTTACCCCCTGTTTGCAATTCCTGAGTTTAAAATAAAACACTCCAAGAGGAAACCTTTAATGACAAATGAAGGCAATACTTGGTAAAGGTGAAGACTTTAATGGACTCATTCATCCTGTTATCTGTTCTCAAATCCTCTATAATCTACAAGAGTACCTTTAAATTTGAGGAACTAAATGTCCAAGGGGGGAGGAGAGGAGGAAAAAGAGACCCAACACTGCTGTAATGTGTCCATTCAGTTACATTTATTGAGAAAACCATAAACGATACAAAATTCGAGTAATGGTGCGCCCTTCTTACATAGAAATGTCATCATAGCAAGCTCTAAACCACATTTTGTAAAGCATTCAATTTACCTCAAGTCCAAGCTGCATCTCCCTAAGACACTGTTCCCATCACAGTAGCCTTTAAAAGCCAATCTTCTTTAAACACACGGGTAGTTTCTGTAGAGAACACTTTTCTCAGGACGAAAATGCATTGAGCATGCATAAGAAAAATATATATATACATATATATATATGCGGAAATACATATGAGAGTTTCATAGGGATAACTAAAGAATATAAAATCTTAAAAACTGATTTCCTTTTGAAAGCTAATTTATAAATCCTAGCCCCCCCACTTCCTCCTCCCCCAGAACAATTATAGTGTGGAAAGAAAACCCAAACTAACAACACAAAGCAAGTGCTTTTTAAAGCACCCCCCCAATGAAGTTCTCAATGAGGATGCATAAAAAAAAAGCATATTAAAGTGAGAATTGGCAGCAAATAATAACGAAATAACCCTATCAGAACTCTACATTACTATTTTTCCCTCGGTGACACAATTTCTTTTGGCACCCTTGCCAAAGAGATGAAATGTTAGCAATGATTCTACAAGACTTCTGCATATTTTTCTATATTCTTTCTGAGTTACTCCCTCCATGACCCTTCCCATTTTAACCATCAAAAACCCCTTATTTGAGGTAATGTCTCGACGTTTACAATCTCTGAAAATGAACTTCACTGAAAAATAAAATTTACTTATTTTTTCATTTCTAAAAGAAATATCATAGTACCACTACACTCAGTAACCCATGAGGAAAAATAAAATAAGCAGATTCCCTGTAAATTTGGGTTAAGTGCTATAAAGACTTCAACTCCAGGTTAAGCATCCTGTCCTCAAACCTCCTAACCACCACTGTAGTCAAATGGGCTGGCTCACCTTTTCTGCTTTCCATTTATTTCACCGTTAAAAAATGCTGGCTGGTAAGAGCAGTGAAGGCTTATAGTCATGAATTTTAAAAAGTTCTCAAGAGACAAGAAACAATGCCCCTATAATACATCATCTATGAGCATAACTATCAGCATTCAGGTCTATTTTCTTCTATAAAATTTCAAGCTAAAACTGCAAAATGTGATGACTTACAGGTTTTAAAGAAATCCTTATATTATAAAACTTAACACACCTGACCTTGGCTGTTTATAAAAAGAACAAATGGAAACAGAAGGTGGTGCAGAAGCTACATAATTCAAGAAATTTAACAGTTCACAGAACATTTATGAGCAAGTGAAGAGCATATCAAAGTGGATCCATTCTGTCTGGGAATACGTGTTTTTTGCCCATGTTTTACCTTCTACCTCGAGCCCTTCTATGGTCCATGCTCATCGGCTCGCCAATGGCCTACAGCCCAAGGGCTCCTTCCTCTCTGGGGCAGTTAACTACCTCAGGGCCCTTGTCTATGAGCTATGGTTGGGTACTCGCAGATCTTCAGCACTGTGTGTGAACATGAAGGCAGTACTTTTGAATATGTATCTTAAATGGAGAGAGAAGCAGGACTTTTGAAAAGGATCAGCACATTTTAGAAAATGAAGAAACAAAAACTGAAACGATGCTGCTTTTTTACTTTCCACTTAACTGAAAAAAGAACAGCAAAAAAACTCCCCAAAAAACTCCACCCAAACAAAAAACAAAACCCCCCACAGACTTCGTACCAGTTAAAAATCATCTATAAAAACACACAAACATTTTAAACTGGCAAAGAAAAAAAAAACCAACCCAAATCAAAACAATGAAAAAAAAAACCCATTCAAAACAAAATATTTTTTTTTAAATGCAGCATCAAAGTATTACAGATCAGAAAATTACTGATTTCTACACAGGTTATGAAAGGATATTTGCTATACAGTTAACATTTCAATGATACATATATATATATATGCCTATTATTTAAAAAAAACACACACACACACTGCCAGTATTATATAAATGAAATATCATTTTCTCAGTGTACAATTATGGCAACTAAATGATCTAAAATCATACTAAAATTCTGACCCATTATAACTTTTTATTGAATTATTAAGGTTTAACAGTAAGAAACAAAGGGATCAATATTTTGCTTTGGAAGGCAGGGAAAATGTCCTGTCAATCATTATAAACATATGTGAAGGCTGTTGAAGTTTCTGACCAAATATTTCCTGTACCTTGAAAAATTTAACTGTGCTTTCTTAATTGTAACAATCTGCTATATTCAAGGAAAAAGTTAACAAAATGATTTGGCTATTAATTCAATTACTGCAGCAATCCACTTATCTTAAAATTAAATTAAAAACAAACAAAAAAGAAAAAAAAACATTTACCCAGAAATGTCAACGGTTGTTTGAACAACTTACAGACTTTTCCACTGAGATGGAACCATGAATAACAGAATGCATCGTGGGAAAGCAGCAGCAGATTGCTTTTGAATACACAACCACAAAAATCTCACAGGGACAACATCAATGTACTGAAATATTTATGTATAGATTTCCTTAGGTTGTGCTTACCTGTTGCTTTTGGAGCAGAACCTAAGGTGGAAGGTCTGGGAAGGCACTGTGAAGTATAAATAATTGCACTGTTTGCAATTAAGAACGATTTTAACCCTTAAATGAATCAAAATCAACAGCCTCCATTTGATGACTCAGGACTGATGACCAATATACCGCCACTGCTCTCTCGCTAGCAGACAGGGTTGAGGCTCCCTAACTCAGGACGAGGGTCTCAACTACAACTGTCCATCTGCCTTCCTGGTCTGGTCTGGCAGGTGGGAGGGCGGTCACTGCTCATTCGACAACCCCAGTGGAACGAGGAGTGGCTTTGCACTGACATTCCTACACCTTGCCCTTACCACAACGGGCCTCCCTCCCCAGGGAAAAGCTGGTGTCAAAGGAGCATCCACATTGCTTATTATTTGCAAACAAACAGAAAATTTCTGTCTGACAAAACAGTTTCCAATTCTTTGAGTTTAATATACAAGATATGCAGTTTTCATACTGAAAAACACTCTTTTTACCTCAGGAGCACCAGAGGAAAATACTATATATATATATATATATATATATATATATATATATATTTCACTTTGTAAAGATTAGTTTTGTTTAGCTATAGCTAAGCATTTCATAAATACTTACCCATTAAGCTCACATTAAAAAAAAATAATAGATATATGTAGATATATAGATATCGATATAGTTATAGACATACAGCCTATGTCATCTGCTTTCAATGAAGAGGCAAGTTAGGATCCCCCAAGTTCTCAGCACTGTATTCCAACATAATAGTCACACAAGGTACGGCATATGCATTATGTGGAACATTTGACAGCCATTTGTCATTCTGATGTACTTACAGTGCCATGCTCCTTGAAGGAACACAATCAAGGATGACAGACAGACAGCCCAGGCCTCCTCACCCCTACAGAGCTAGTCCTATACTGGATGGTTCAAACCTGCGCTTCAACAGACAATGGCAAGACAGACTGTATTGGCATGTTGTCTAATAGATTAATATGCAAAGAGCCAACAAATATGCAAAGAGCAAAACAATGGATTTCAACCAAATATCAGAATTGCAGCACAAATGTTAAAGAGTAAGAAAAGGATTCAAGTACATCAAAAAATTAGTTGGTTCAATGACTGGACTTGTGCATTTACAAAACAAAGCTTATTCATACTTCAAAAAAAAAAAGAAAAAGAAAAAAGAAAAATGGCTCTAACCTCACGTTTCAATGAAAGAAGCGGTTAGCCTAGCTAAAAGGCATCCTCAGAAGACAGGCTTTACAAAGAAAAATGCTAGGTCATATTTGCTCTCTGAAAAATGCTGAAAATCATTTATGCTCAAACAGTCTTGGTAACCAAGTAATTATCAATTAAGAACAGAAAGGTTAACTGTTGTTTATAGCAGCGGCCCAGGCCTGAAACAGCGGTCATGTGTCAAAGGAAATGCTGTAAGGTCATCCTACACATGCAATTCTTATAATCCAACAGAAGGAAAACCGAGATCTCCAGATGACTTGGGATCAACAGTTATCTAGACCAAGTGGGAAAGATCCTCCAACTACCACTAAACTGCAAAGGGGGAAAAAAGAACATGCCAGTGACTTCAGGTTCAAAGCTCTATTCAGATTTCAAGGGGAAAGTTTCTCTTTGTGTACCTGGATCTTAATCCATCACTGCTAAACAATTCGGAATCCTTTACATACCCACATATCCAACTTACCGACACAGGAGGTTTCATATTATTTATTGTAAAGCACAAAACAGGCATTTTAAAAGTGAAAGTATACATTGAAAAAGTACATTTATATCACAAAGCATTGACCACATAATAGTTGCAAATACATTTGCTGGAATGTGTACATCTACACTAAGATACTAAAAACAAACCAATGTTCATTTCTACACAGAAATATTACCTCCTATCAGTAGTGATAGATATTTTGTACATTTTCAAAAAACACTATTTTTTTAAACCAAAACAAAATTAAGATCTTCATCAAGGCGTCTGCATCCATACATTTAACAAAGGTTTTTTTCCCCCACACAATGAAGCAAATACTGTATTGTCCACTTCTTATTATTGGCCCTGTGCAGAAGAGATACATAAGAGATACACAAAAAATTAAAGAAAATCCTTTAAATCAAGTTAACTCAGGAGTGACTCCTTTAAGAAAGAAAAATTGGTTAATATAAATGGTGGTGGCTTCTTGCATGATTTTCAAAACCCTGGGGGGAGAAAATTTTTTTTAAATTGAAAGGCATTGTGGAGAGATTCAGCACTCAGATGCCAGAGAGAATTTCTAAGACACCACATTACTACATTTAAAGGTCTATTTTGCCAGGAAAAAATAAAGAGGCATATCCACTCCAAGTCACCCAAGCGGCAGACATGCAGAAACAGACCAAAGAGCCAACTCTACCTGTGGGGCTGGTGGGTGCTGCGGCATCCCTTGGGGGCTGGTCTGCGCATAGTAGGCGGCCTGCTGTCGGTAGTATTCAGCCCAGGCCGCACTGTAATCAGGCTGGCCACCCGGGGGGGCCCCAGTGGGAGCAGGAACAGCTTGACCTAAGAGCAAGCAAAAGGAGAACGTTGTTACTGTAACCCAAGCGAAGAGTGTAAAAGAATCTCATTTCTAATAAAAACAATACCTTGCTTCTTGTAATATTCCTCCCAAGCCTTTGAATAATCCTGTGTCTGCCCTTGTTGACCTAAAAAAAACCCCCTACATTTTAATACAGAGTGATATCCACTGTCAGTACAGGTTATACAGACAAAAAGCACACAGGGAGATGGGCCCTGCTTTTAGTGTCATCAGGGCCAGAGGAATAGCTCGCTGGCCAATACAGTCACAGACAATACCATCCTCTCCCCCTCTGCAAAAACCAGTATCTTTCTAGCACCATTATTTAAAAAAATGGGAAGATGGAGAACAGTATCTTCTTCCTATGCAACTGAAAAAAACATCTATGTATTTTTGTCCTTTTGGCCAATGAGGGCAGGTAGGGAGGCTGGGATCATAATCCCCTGACAGTCTGAGACTGCTTAGATGGCACTGCATAATCTCTAAACTATATTCCTCGTGTGGAGAAGGAAAAAACTGGCCCCTTTAGCAAATCACGCAGTCCTCAACAAAAGCTCAGGACCCCAATATACTGACTGGTTTGAAACAGTGACTTCTACATCAACATAAAAATCAATGACTAAACTCACCAAGGTTAATTTTAAAAGATTAAATTTTTCTTGTTCACTTATGGACAACTGGGAATCACACTTTAGTAGTAATTTTCAAGTATCATAATTGATAACAGTAGCTACTGCAGGAGAAACCATCAATTATACTCCAATGGCAAGATCAATGGGATACAAGTCAAGAAAAACTATGGCTCGATAGAGTTTAGTGTGCCAGGCCTCATCTCATTCTGCTCCTGCATGCCTCTCCCTTGCTTGGAGGGAAGATCATTCAGTTTGAATTCTTAAAAAGTACTAAAAACTGCTACTCAAGAAGGAAGCCCGAATGTTGGATAACATGGTAAAAATCAGCACAGATATGCTAGCACATCTAGGTGCCATCTGGGAGGACAGGGTCAGAGCAGAGGCAAGTGGGGAAGCCCTCAGACCCCATGTCCCCATCTCTGAAGCAGCTTTGTTTTTCAAATGTCCTTCTCCTGTGGAAATCCTTGGACTGTTGTAGACTCTTTGTGGTCCTGGCTGCCAAGTCCTTCAATTCCTCAGCAAAGGCAAGCCTGACCTCCAGGCCTGAGTGTACAGGGTCAAGATTGACTTCACCACAGACAAAAAAGCAAAGGAGAAACCCCATGCACAAATGTGCGTTCTGGGCTCATTATTTCCATCATAGCCTCAGTGACTAAGGGCCCCACTCTTTAATCTTATGTCAGAAATTTAAACCTGGGTGACCCAGATTCAGTTTTTCATAATTTAATAAGAACTTGAGAAACCCAAGCTAGGAAGAGGATTAAAAATCACCAGCAATAACAAAGCCTCCAACATCTGTTCAGTGGATTAGTGTGTTAGACACGTTACAATTCCAACTCAATAGACCTAAATTTGTCCTTCTTAGAATATCATTTGAAAGATTCCCCCCTGCTCACAGGGACTCATGATACTATGCCAGGTGTTGGGGTAGAACAATTAAGAATCACTGCCCCTCTTCTCCAAAAGATTCCCCTAAAGGGGCCCAACACATAAGAAAAAAGTTGAAATACAATATACGCAGGCATAGCTAATTAAAACACAAGTCAGGAAGAAAAACCAGTTAACATCAGAGGCAAAGGAAAAATGGATCCCACCTTTCATATGAAAACTCAAAAGAATCTATCACAAGATAATTAATTCTGAAAAGCACTTTGATGCAACCAATTGTTTGACTGCCTACCCAGTATCCCACAAACTAGGATCATAACTGGAGCACCAACAATGACTTGGCACAAAGACAACGAAACCCATCTTGTGCAGTCCTGTCGTGGGCAGCTGGAACAAATCCTTCCCGAACCACTTCAGACATCAAATGCACCAATCCTCCATTTCCTTCAGTTAGAAGGGTAGTCATCACTTCACTTCTCTTGAAGAGCTAAAACCCTATTTCCCCAAAGAAAGCTGTGGAATGTTGGGCCCAAGTCCCGGGTCTGCTGGCAGTCACCAACAGGTGAGCGGGGTAAGACAGGTATTATCCATTGCCTCTTCTATGGCTGGAAACACTGAGGGGCAAAAGCATAATCCAGGAGCAGCCACAACTCAAGGGCTCTTCTCGCCTTGGCCAAGTCCCTAAAGCATGTGGGATGGGACCACCAGCCTTAAAGCTACAACCCTTTGGCCTTTCTCGCCCGTCAGTCACCCCACATAATGAAAAGGCCTTGGCCACACCCACTTCTCGGGTATTGTCTTGCACCCACCACTTGACACTTGGTTGTTCCCCAATCGATGGGCATCCACTCAGATGTCATTACACGGGGTTCTTCTGGTTAATGAATGACCTCCTTGGAGGACACACTCCAGGAGGGAATCATGGGCTAATGTCCCAGTCACTTTATCAACCAAACGTCAAATTGCTTCCCAAAATGGTTTTCCCCGAGTCACAGCTCCATTGCATATCCCATCCAAAGTATGTGTACATACGTTTTCCATCTTTTGTCAAAGAAGACCTGGGTTCAAATCCAACTACAGCCAACACTGAGTAGCTGGGTTCACTTCTGCCTACCTCAGTTTCCAGTGTGGATACTCAGAGCACCTACCTCCCAGGGTTGTTGAGAAGATCCAGTAAGACAATAATTGTTAAGGGCTTAGCACAGCTTCTGGCCCAGTGTAGGCCCTCAAACAATGTTTATTCCCTTCCCCGAGGAAGAGATGAAGCCTCAGGGTTGTTCTAGTGGGCTTTTCTTTCACTACAAGTGATCTGGAGCCCTCTTTTTTCATGCAGTGGTGAAGAGCTTGCAGTTTTTCTTTTGAGAAAGATGGTGTGTAGGCGTGAGAGTCAGGAAAACTTGTGTTCAAACCTTTATCTCCAATGCTTCCTTGGGTGTGTGGCCCCTCTCAGTGCCAGGCAGAGGAAGAGCACCTTGACGGAAGGGCATGTGCATGTGTGTGCCGCAAGACTGAAAGCACTGTAGAAAGCAGGCTCCAAAAATCTTTCTCTAGGCCAGCAGTTAATTCTATGGACATCTCTCCAGGAAGGACTTTTCCCATCATAGGCTCATTTTTAGCAACAGCAGAAAGATTAACTGTACAGAAATTAACCGTATGAAGATACTTTTTGAAGGGTGGGAAGCTCTTCTCGCTGGACTACCCTCTCATCTTAAGAAAAATCCAGGAATATTCTTTAGAAAGCAAACTTCTTGATGCTCTATTCTTGCAGGACTGAAGGGGATGAGATTTCTATTAACTCCCACAGAAAGTAAAAAGAACGAGGATGTATGTATGTATGTATGTAGATATCTTGGGGGCCCTATAACACAGTGGAGGATGTATCTTCAAAATAAACTTATTAACCTAGTGGCGAAATGCTAGGGTTCTAGACAGTAACTCAACGTTCTCTTCAAATAATTAACCCCTGAAGTTTTTATTTTAAATCAGTTAATCCTACCTAACTCCTTGCCTCTTAATATAAGCAATTACCTAGGGAACCAGTTTGCGACAGAGTGGGGACACTTCTGTACATTTGGCGCCAGCATTTATTCATATCCCAAAAAGATCTTTACTCAGGAAAACCGACTCAGTTATTTCCATTGTTCAAGTGCCACCAAAAAACCACAGGGTGGACAGTGTCCACTACTGATGTGCACGTGCGGCAGACCCAGAGATGTAAGAACCAGTCTTTTCTTTATGTTTCAACATAAAGCTTTGGACTTAAAAAGCAAAACCAAACCCCATATAGCACCCTTCCAAAATAACTTAGCCAATTAGCTTCTCACTCGCAATTCCATGACACTAAGTTCCAAGTTAGCTAGAGATGGTCGTCATGCTGCACAAATGAAATATGGACAGAGCAAGGGACTAGGATTAAGGAGACTAGTTGTGTGACCTGAGCAAAGTCACTTGATCCTCTCATCTGTAAGTTAAGGGGGTTAGAACAATAAATCTATGAGCTACAAAGATGGTCAACAAATAAAAGTGCAACATACCCATTTTCTTGTAGTACTCTTCCCAAGCCTTCGTATAATCAACCTGTCCAGTTGGAGCTGGATTTTGCTGATCTCCTTATTTGAAAATAAAGCATATCTCAAAATCAGTTTTAAAAGCTTAGTTTCACAAATGTATTTTTAACTCAACTTACAAATCATGAGAAATGTGACTTTCTTAAAGATAATATATTGTAAATGAAAATGATTCACTTAATACCATGCAACTATTACTAACTATAGCTGCCCAATGAAAATGTCTTTTCCACTAGACTCATCAATATAAATAGGAGTTGGCAGCCAGTGGGCCATGGTAAGAGGCAGGAGTGACGAGGTCCTAGGCCATCACAGGTTCCCCTCCAGACTGCTACAGCTCTTAGAGTCACAGAGAAGGCCAGCAGGTCTTGGCTAAAGAGGACATCAGTACAGAAATTCCTGTTTGTCTGAAAACCAAACAACCAGACAACTGAAATAACTGGAATTTTTTTTCCTACACTTTAAAAATGAAGAGAAAATGACAAATAAGCTGACACAGGATTTAATTTAAAACAAAAACAATTTTTAGAACAAGTCATGGGTTCAAGATTCAGACTAATTTTCTAAGTGTGTAACACCATACAATGATACTTGATGTAAATCAAAAACTGGAAAACAGTTCAAGATAGTTTTAGTGCTATATAGTTTTTAATATAATTTTCAGAAAAATGGCAACCCAAGAATGGTCTCTGTGTTACTGAATCAGCCTCCATATTCCATTTACCAGTGATTTTAGAGAGGAGCTTGGTAGGCCAAGCGACTCAAGTTAAATAAAGCTATACCCTTTTAAAGTGAGCTCCATGCTATCCAATTGCAATGAAAAAGAAATGAACTCAAAACATGAAATTTTGGCTTATAATGAAAAATATTTTCTTTGGATAAATGCATTTTTACCTTGTCCGTTAGTTTGAGTTGTAGCTGGTGCACCTGTTGGAGCTGCAGGCGGTGGCTGTGCTTGCTGCTGATAATAATGAGCATAATAAGCAGCCCAAGCTGCAGAATTTGGGTCTGTACCTGTTTTTGCTAGAACCAAAACACAAGTTTGAGATTTACCTGTGAAAAAAAATGATCTGCATGACATGCACATTATCCCAACAGGTTACTGGTGGCGTGAGCCAGAATGCAGAGACCAACTCCATTTCCTTCCCCGAGAGGGCCACTGGCCTAGTAATCTGGGCCTTCCATGACGTCCTTGGGGGCGGCCCAGCCTGACGCAGTGCAGGGAGAAAGGCTCTGTGTTTTTTTAAAGGAAGGCTCCATATTTTATCAACAACTTAGATAAAGGCAAGATGGTCTCCCTGACCGCCCTGTGGAGGGAACAGCTGATCCACGGAATGCCAGAACCGGGAAACAAAAAGATCTCATCTTGAGGTGGAAGGATGGGGCTCAAAACATCAATTCCACCAAAATGCCACGATGGAGAGGTAGCTACTGCAGGAAAAAAATGGCATTTCATGAATGACAAACTCAGTGTATGATCTTGTGATTCAAGCTCAATGGGAATGCCATGGTGTTCTGCTTTGGCTTGGTCACACATGAAGCTTGGCCAAGCTGTGCTGTGTGTTGGGGAGGGGTGGGGGCGTGAGTGCCATACTTTAGGAAGAAAACGCCCATTTTTGAGGTTCCTCCAGAAGGGTAACCTACACGGTGGAGGAGGGCACTTAAACCCACGCCACACCATGGAAATGGGGATGTTTAAACTTGGAGACAAGAGAGCAGCAGAAGGCAGCTGTGAGATAGTGGTTCACAGAAGAAAAACTCCCTACCAATTCCAGTTGTTCATTCCAAAGCCAAGTGGGCTGCCCTCAGGAAATCCTGAGCTTCCTAGACCGTATTTTCCTCAGAAACTGACTAGATTCAAAGCTTAAAAAAATTCTACTCTGAACACCTGAGATCTGTAGGCAAGACTGAACCTCGTTTGGCACACTCTAAGGAAAAAGATTTCTGAAAATGAAAACACAAGCAAACAAACATGCAACTATTTGGGAAGGAAGTGAATTGTCTATGAAAAAAAATCAAAGCATTTTCTGTGCACGAAGCAAACAACAAAAACCTCTCATAAAGCTGAAAAGACATCATAGAAGATGATCAACTAAGATGCCATAAAGACTAGTGAACTTAAGAAACCAACACCTCCCATTTCCAGTGATATTTTATGAATCACGGCAAACACTGCCTCTACCTAAAAGCACATGATGATACCTGATACCCAAGGGGGAGCTGCTGCAGAAGAAAATCAGCCTCATCGCTGGCACAGAGACGGACTGCCTTGTGCCACAACACACATTGGCATTTTCCAGACTGATAATCGCCCCATTTATTGACCACCTGTCGGAATGGCTCTTGGCATTCTCCTTAATCTGTGTCCCCATTAAGGAGATGTGAACAGAAGGGAATCCAGGGCCACAGAAATGTGAACCCTAATCCCCTGAGGCCTCCCTACTGAAGCAGCTCTGTCCAGTGAATCCCTCCAGAGTGCTACACCAACCTGGATCCAGGTGGCTGCTGATACCCCAGATAGTGAAGACAACCTCAGGACTCTTGTCCTGAGGCCTAAACCACAGGGGCAGGGGTCCTCACTTATCTTCAAAGTAGGGTCGGGGGTAGAGTAAAACCACAGTCCAACAGACACTTTTCAGGTTGGGAAAGGTCCTAAAACATAAGTGCCTCTGCAATACAAACTGCTAGCTACTACCAAAGCTTGGAGGGATCATGAAGTAGACTCCTCCGAGGCCACACGGAGGACCAGAATCCCCAGATCCACTCCTATCTCATGCTGCCTCTCATAAGCAGAGTCCAAGTCAGAGTCAAGGCCCCTGGCCAAGACACAGCTATCATTTCATGGGTGTGCCTGATGTGAGACTACACCCCACTTCCACCGTGCCACCCCTCAAAAAAAACCAAGAACTCTAGGAGCATTCTACACAGGAATAGCACGAAGGCTTGAAATACTGTGATATCTTTCACCTGGATCAGGTGGGTTCTGCTGCTGCCAATGGGGATAGGCATTTCCCCACCCTTGGGGAGCATACGGAGCTGGAGGACCACTGGAGAAGGAAAAAAAAGGGATACTGAAGGTAACTCACCAAATCCATCTCTTCGAGAGAGGTTAAAAGCCCCAGAATAAAAGCCCAGCACTTACTGAGGAGCAGGGCCTGGTGGTCCTGGATTATAAGGTGCAGGATTGTAGGGCCCCATTGGATTTCCAGGCCCCGGAGGCCCTGGAGGCCCGTGGGGGCCTGGCACACCGTGAGGCCCATGGGGAACAGGTGGACCTAAGGGATTGACTGGACCCTGTCAACAAAAGAACATATTTTAAGATAGTAACAGAACAGGTTCTGTCTAGTCCCCGAAGGGGCAGAACAGACAAAAGACCAAATAAACTGAGCACTAATGGATCAATCAGACAAGCATTTATTAAGTGACTACCATGCACCAGGCACTGTACCAAGAGCTGGGGACACAAAGGAAGGAAAAACTAGCATGCAAATAACCACGCAGCTCCCAGACACGTGTGTGCATAACACCCATTTACAAATCCAAGCAGAATGCAACCTTCGAAGGAAGGCAGCTGCGGGGGTGGGAATATCTAGCTGGTAAGGCCTGACTGCGGAGCGTGAGACTGAAGTCAAGTCTTGGAGGCGAGGAGAGGAGAGCAATTTTCAGGCATGGAGGAACAAAAAGTAAGTAGGCAATGCAGCTGGACTATAAGCTAGGAAGGGTTTTTACATTTTTAAATAGTTGTTTCTTAGCCCAAGGGCCAAATAAAGCAGGCTGCTAGGTGGCAGTAGCTTGCTTCCTAGGGCTAAGGGAGTAAGGTGTGAGAAGAATGGAAGCGGAGGGAGGGGCAGGTGATACCATGAAGAACGTTCTATGCTTGCTCCTGGAGTTTACTGAGTAGGGGAGTGCTGTGCGGAGAACTGCCTTTTAGGAAAATCCCTCTGGTAGCTGAATGGAGAAAGGCAGACCCCCCCAGCAAGCTGGCAGCAGAAGAGAGGATGGGGCTGACTGGAGAGATGCTGCTTAAGTAAAATCCACATGTGCTTATGGCACCATGGGGGGTGGCAGGTGGTGACAGCTAGTGAGGAGTATAGGGGTGACACCAGGGTGTAAGCCAGAGAGACTGGGAGGATGGTGGTGTGTGTGAGAGAGAAAGGAGGAGGGAGGGAGACAGAAAGAGAAGGATGATAACGAATTCTGTTTTAGGCAGTTTGTTCCATTTAAAATGCCGACAGGAAATGCAGTTGGAGCTCCATGCTGGAGCTGAGGAGACCAGATGGCAGGAGAGACACATCTGCGAGTCATCCACTTAAAGACCCTAACTGACCCCACAGGGGCTGAGATCCCTGAGTGGATAGTCTTGGACAAGCTGGCTGGTGGGTAGGACCCAAAGGGAGATCCGGCCAAGTAGGGGGAACCAGGAGATGGGGAGGAGACCTGAGAAAAGGCCCATCACGACTGCTAGGAACCTTGTCTCCCATGTTCCTAACAGCCTCTGCTCTCACCACCTGGAGCCGCCAAGTGCCCAAGTGGGTCTTTCTTCCTAACACACAATGGCTCTGACATGAGACACTCTCAGCCCTTGGCCTTTTTAATACCCACTTCAGAGATAACAGCTGCTTCTTCCTTCTCTATCACCATAACTGTAGGTCTTTGCAAACACCACGCCCTGACACTGTGTTTGTCAGCAATCCCCTCTCACCTCACTTTAGGAACAGAAGACTTTGGAGCTCAGGAAAAAAAATGAGTACTGCCCAAGTGACCAGTGGAACTTGTTAGTTTTAAGACTGATTTTAGTAGGGACAGGGGTGACCCTGGGCTTGAGGAGGTAATGCCCAAAGAACACAAGTCCTGGCCATGGAGAGAAAGGCTGGCTACAGGAAAGGGGCTGAACTCTCCATTGCCAGGAGGGGTACTGGCAGTTCAGGCTGCACTGACGGGCCATGTGCTTGCTTGAGTCCAGGACACTCACAGGGGCTGTGCTGCCCTTACACCATCAACACAAGCTCAGGCACCAAGGCTCCCTTGCTCGCCTGTGGCAGCCCCCGGAATACTCACACCAATCTTCTCCTCTATGAGCTGCCTTGCATAATCGATCTGCTGTGGAGTTCCCCGTATTGTAAATAACTTCATGTTAGGGTCTGCATTCGGAGGAGGGTTTCTCTGAAGTTCTATTCTAGCACCGGACTGTTGGCTTATGCTTTTGATAGTTTCTCCACCTGAAATACAAGTTGGTTGGTTTGTTTTCTTCCTCAGTTCAAAGGCCATGGAAAAAGCCTTCCAATTCTTCATGCCATCTGAAAGCATTCAGGCATCACTTTCCACTTAACTCAATAGAATATGGCATCCAAGATGTGTCTTACCAACCACAGAAGTACCAAAGAATGGACAACTTTCAAGCTAATTTGAAGAAAATACAATGCCTTTTCAGACAGGGGAAAAAAAAGGCTGAAGGCCATGAAAACATCTGGCTTGTATTTCGTCCTCTTGTAAGCAACTGAATCTTTTAACATTGCAAAGTGCATTTCTTCCTATTTTAGGCTGAAGCAAAATCACTTCCCTGTTTTTCTTTACATCTCTACACAGCCCACCATGACGACCCTTTCCCCCCCTGCTTGAGGGCCTCACTCCCAGAGGACCGCCACTCAGACTCTGGCTGTGAGAATGAAGAGCATCTTGCCTTTTCCGATGATTAATCCAGTTTTCCCAGTTGGAACGATAAAGTTAAATTCCTGCAGCCCACCGGGGGGTCCCATGCTCCAGTTGCCTTGGCCTCGGCCTCGGCCTCGACCACCAGGTCCTGGTCCACCAGGGTTACCAGCCTAAGGAGAAATGACAAGTCAGCACCCAAATCCTGGAGCCCCAACCCAGTCCCAAAGCACCATTCTGACAGCCCCCTCCCCTCCAACACTGAGCAAAGCATCCTCAGAGTGCTTCCCGATGATGACCTGGAAGAAAAACTTCAGACCTGAATGCTTCGAAGGAGGTCAGTGATAATTTCTGCTGCATGCTGACACCTGTCTGGAGGGCCTGTGATCTGGGCTATTCGATCTGGGGTAGTCCCATCATCTGCAAAGAGCACATACCTGAGTCACCCTAAATGCCCCAACAGGAGGCAGAGACCTAAGACTCAAGTGCGGACACTCACCTGGCTTGAATTGGATCCGAACACCAGCATCATTCTGAATCTTTTTGATCATCTCGCCGTTTCTGCCGATCACAATCCCCACAGCAAATCTTGGTATAGGGACCTGGTGGAAGGCGATGGAGTTTAAAGGAAATAAAAATAGCCAGGTTTTTCAACATGAAAACATAGCAGAACACTTACGAGGGGGCAAGGTGAGCAGCCCCAAAGCTTCCCTGAGAGGCGATGAAATGGAAAGTGAAGTGGTCTGACTCAGGGCGACAACTAAAGGACTTACTGGGAACATAAAATCTGTCATGACTTTGGGCTGTTCCAATACGGCAGATGTATTTTTTTTAGAAGCCTCTGAAGACAAAGGCTTGCAAAGATGAGGTGATTCCAAATCAGAAAACCTGGGTTGGAATGCCATCTCTGCCCCTCAGGACCTGCATCAGCCTGTCACCACTGTAAAGAGTGGGGGTAAGGTGGAGGTGGGGGGTGGGAAGAAGAGACACACTAAGTGCTTTCTAAGTGACCTCAGCAGTGATACTCACATCTATGCCTTCATTTCCTCCTATTCTTGACCCATATTCATTGCGCACCTCTCTGAAACCACCTTGATCACGGATTAACTCCAAGACCATTTCCTTAGCTTGCTAAAAAAGTAGGATAAAACAAAGCCCATCAGACAGGTCTACGCAAATGACTCCCCTGTCCCAAACTCCAAAGAAACACAGCGACACTTACCTGCACTTTGTAAGGGTCGCCTGTGATCCTCAGAGGCTTGTCAGCACCAGTGTTTTGGGGCCCATCCTGAATCATCACCATCTTAACACCAGCTCGTTCCTGTTTCAAACAAAGTAACGTGTCAAATAATAACGAGAAAGATTCAAAACAATCAGGTGGTTTTTCACAATCTTGGTACCTGAAGCTGCTTAATAGTCTCGCCGCCTTTTCCAATAACTAGGCCAGCCTTGCTGGCTGGGATCATGATTTCTTGAACTGCATTGCCTGGTCCATCCCCATGATGAAAGCCGGGGGCTGGCCTTCCCTTCTCAACAATCTGGTCAAGTAACCGCTTGGCTGACCTGGTGAGGGGAGAATGGCAGCAACCCAATCAAGAATCTGTTCAGAGAGAAGTTAACTAGAACCCACACTACTGGAAAAGGAGAGAGACTGTCTGCCTCAGTTTCTTCAAAGGCAAAATGCTGATAATAAGAGCACCTACATCCTAGGGTCATTGTGAGAACCAAATGAAACAGCATCTGTGAAGCACTTAACCCAGGGCACAGTAGGTGCTCCATAAATGCTCGTTTCCTTCCTTTCCTTGAACAGTACATTCAAGAGCAGTGTTTTAATTTGGCAAAGTTAAGTTGTCCAAATCTACTTTAAGAAGATTCCCAACTCTGCCTCCAAATCTGGATATAATCTAAGGAGTTTATTTGTGCAAAGAGGGTAGGGGACAAAGTAACTGCAAGGATCTGGTCTACAGTAAAGGAAAATGCGAGAAATGAGCCCACTAGCCAGGCCCCAGTTAATATACTCACTGAACAGACTCAGGGGTCCCGGTTAACATACAAGACCTTTCGGGCAGGCCACCGCTGTCTGAAATAAAGAGAAAAATCAGAATCACATTTAAAAGTGGGACGAATGGCTGCAGCTAGTCACTAGCAGGCAAAAACCAGTGAAGAGAAAGGTCTCTTACCAGGAGCGATTTGTATTTTGCATCCAGACTCCTGCTGTATGCGTGAAATCTGCTCACCTCCTCTGCCGATTACTAGTAAAAACAGAAAATCAATGGTTGAAGATTCCAGGAAAATAAGACTGGACAAAACTTTTATTTACTCCCAACTTCTCAACATCACTTACTGAATCCAACCATTCCATCTGGAACTTTGTATTCTTCTGTCATTACTGACCTAATTGGAAGGAAAGAAAGAAGCTAAGTTATGATCTTCTCTAACAAAATAAACATTAGGGGAGCATTCTAACTGACTCCAGCAGGCCCAGTGCTCTGGGCACTACATTGCTTCCAATGATTTCCAGAGTTTTCAGTATCCCTTTATGGAGAGAACTGATCCCTTCCTTTAAGCACACACACAAAAATATCCACTGAAATTTGGGTCTTAATACAGTTTATAACACAAACAAACAAAAAACCCCCAACCCAACACCAGCACATTTACATTATCTGCTAAACCATAATAATATTTCTGCTTCTATTAATTTTCTCTAAGTTGACCAATTATACTCCTGAAGCCACCCTTACATTCATCATGGTTTAAATGCATCTCACTGCCACTTCCCACAAATCTGTTATTACCATCAACATTTAAACTGAGAATATGCAAGGAAAGAAGCTGTATGGTCTACCTTTGTTGCTGATGCATTGGCGGTAATTGGGTTCCAAAGGCTAAAAAGAACGAATATTTGCAACTGTCAGAAGTTTTCTTACACAAACCCACAGTCCACAATTAGCTCCCCTGTTGGGCCTTCTCAGGATCATTACGTTTCACTTAAAAAGCTAAGATAAGCCTTTCCAAAAAGCCAGCTCAAAGTCAGAAGAGGTTATCACTAGGGCAAGAAGGGGATGGTCTCAAGTGGTTTGCTTTCCATTCTCTGGGCTTTTCAGATGCCTAAGGGAATCAGGGAGGGATGGGGGAGAGGAATACATGTGTCCTTTCCCATCATGAACATTTTAGGTTTGAGAACTGAGACTCCTTCTCCTCGTAGTACCATGCGAGATTGCTCATCACTTCCCCTCCCTCCTTACACAGCTGAGTTTTGATATTGAGGGGACTGAAAACTCAAGGGCCTAATCATGTCGTGGAAGGTCATCCCCAGCTGGGGCCAGAACCCCTCACAAGGAGGTGACCAGGGTCCAGCAAACTCCCAAAGCCTGTGAAATGTCAGAGGCAGGATTGTTAACCCAGGCTGATTCTTGAGGACAGACTCAGCACCTGTGTTCTTCTAACTACCCAAGCTTGTGCTGGTCATCACTGACTGTGAATGTTGTGTTGGAAGAAATCAAGAATGATGTGCACTAAATCACAGCATCAAGAATCAATAAACAGTCCCCACTAATTCAACTAAATCATCTGGGCTGCATACAGACAGTGGCAAAATCTTCCTGCTCAGCTGAAACCAGAACACTCACCATCATTCTGAGGAGCGACCTTCTTAGCATCTGGTTGATCTGCAAAACGAAGTTTTTGAACATTTTGGTCCAGAAGCCCAAGATACCTTTAAACTAGTGGCTCTCCCATGAATGTCAACTGTAGCATTTTTTTTTTAAAAGAACACACCTTGATGTACATATTTTATTGAAATTTCAGGGGTGTACTTTAGTTTGACATTTGAACCAAAATTTAAAAATAAAAAAAAAGAAAAAAAAAAAAGGAAAAAAAAGGAAACAAACACAAAAAGCCACCAACCCCAAACTGTTAGTATTCTAGAAAAATCAGATTCTTATCCTTTCATTCTGTTTTTAAAGAGGCACAAACATTTAAGAAACAAAACCTTTAAATTGCAGACACTGAATCACAGGCCTGAATGTTGGCTAAATGTTTTAGAATGATAAAAGACAGTATTTGACTCTGTTACTAGGCAAAGAATTAGGTGCTAAGGGCTAATGATGCTTCCATAGTAGGAACTAAAAATTAAAAAAAAAAACCCTCTCAAAATGTGAAAAAAAGATGGACACACCAAGAGTCCAGTCTTTGCGACAGTGACAAAGGTAGGCAAGAAAAAAAAAAATCACATATCGATACAGCCCTCAGGCTTGACTGTCAAACATCCCAGCACACAAATTCCTTCTCTTCATCCAGTCCTTTATGCAATGAATGTTTTAAAATAGACATTTGATATCAGGAAATAACCCTTCAGAGGCTTCTTCCCACCCAAGATTCAAGTTCATCTGATACAACACTGTAATGATGTGCAGCAAAAACTGAGACACAGGATCCAAGAAATGTCTGTGTCCATTTTGAGGAGCCATCAGTTTACTTCACGTTTACACACTAAACACAGGTAATAAATAAAAATTCCTGCCTTTAAAAGGAGAGGGCATTCCCTCCCAGTGTGTTGTACTGCTCGGACTTGTCCAAGAGCCATCTACACATGAGATAAAAAGAATACATTACATATATCATCTGAAGCATCATTAGCTCATTTCTATATATTCAAAACCTCACTCTTAATAGGAAAAACATTATTATGAATGGAAACAAGCACTCCTGGTCAAAGGCTAGGATACATTCTATAGGCTATTACCATCCTCTTCCAACAAAATAAAAAAAAAGGCAAAAAAAAAAAGGCAAAAAAAAGCAAAAAAAAAAGTGCCAAAGCTTATACAGCAAACCTAGCAAACAACATGAGTGGACTTTCTAGAGCTTACAAGCTTCTCACAAGTGAGATGCAAAGAAACATGTGTATTTTAAAAAACACAGAGCCCTGGTTACAACACCCAGACTAACTTTTAAATTAAACCAAAAACAAAATCCCACAAACACCAAACACCACAAAAAAACCCAAACCAAAACACACCCAAAGGGCACATCCTATTAACACCTTGATCAGGTCACAGCGGGGAAGTAACCTTGAGTAGGATCCATGACACGTTTCCTAGACTGAATAAGCTTCATTTTCTACTGGAGGATCAGTAGTTTTGGACCAATCGACTCTACCTGCTGCTGCCCCCAATGTCAACTACCTTACCTAAAGTGCCCCCTGCCCCAGGCCAACATAACTGGCCACATTTGTAGCCCCTTCCTCCCTGAAATTAAGTATTGCTTTGGTCACAGTGTCTGTGATGAAGTAAACTTGGAAGCACTTGAAAAAAGAGAAAATACTGACAAGGAGAACAGCGTACCTCCATCCTCCAAAGGCCTTTTCTGTCCCCCATAACCATAATCATTTGAATTCAGTGACGTGCCTGCATCACCTCCAATTTTGGCTGCAATCTTGAGAAGAAAAAGAAAGAAAAAACACGTAGTTATTTTCAAAAAATACAATTCCCTCCCAGTCAGACAAGTAATTCTTTTAGTATTATTCACACATTATATTTTTCTACTACAGGTAGCTAGGCACCACAACAGATAGAATGATGGGCCTGGAGTCAGTAAGATCTGAATTAGAATCCCACCTCAGTCACCTCCCACCTGTGTGACCCCTAAGCAAGTTACTTGACCTCTGTGCCTCAGTTTCCCCCGCTATAAGATAGGGATAATAATAGCAACATTCCCCCCCCCGCCATGTTGCTGTGAAAACCAAATGAAGTCTATGTGAAGCACTCAACACAGTGTACCCACTACAGTACCCTGCCCATAGTAGGGTGCTGAAAAAATGCTTATTCCTATTCCTTCCCCTTCCTTGGGGAGAAAGACTATGTGTTCTTATTCATTATTCCATTTCCCCTAGACCAGGCAGGAAAGAAGTCTGGTCTAGAATGAGAACGGCACAGTGCAATTCAGCTCCAGAAATCCCAAGTGGATGCAGTGATGAGGAAGGAAGGGCTGCCCAAGTGTGAAGCCCCCTGCAAGGGGCTGGGATTCTAAAGACAGAAAATGGGGGAAAAGCAGAGAAGAGGCAAGACTATTCCCCTGTGTCCTGAGGTAACAAAGAGAAAGCAAGCAGCCCAATCTGACTGGAAGAGGAGGCTGTTAACCAGCCTGACAGACCAGGCTGAGACTGAGGGGATCACTTCGACAGTCTCAGCCAGGGGTCTCTGTGACCCTTGGCTTTTGGGACATCTTCCCTAGCCAATAGGAAAAGAAATAATTCTGGAGTTTATCATGTATATGGCACATAAAAAAACGTCGAGATTAATTTGGATAGGACAATTATCTACCCAACATACTCTATGCCCCCTGATGAGCTTCTTATATATACCTCCTCCCCACTCAGGTAAGCTTATTTTATTTTGGAAACTCCTGGTCTAGTCAAGAGGGGATGAGGGCTTCAAGCCACAGAAAGGCAAAGAAAGAGGACTTGGCATCTGATGGCAGTGGGGAAAGAGATGAGGAGCTTCAGAACCAAGGATGACTCTGTTTAAGTTTTGAACCTAGGTGACTGGAGGAGGATGTGCCCTCGACTTGAGGAAGCTAGAGAGAAGGCTTAATCCTGGAGGACCTCCTGATAGAGCTGGCTTCAGAGCAGACTCTGAAGCCTGTTTAGCTGAATTAGAAGGAAAAACATCTCCAGGCATGGTCCATAGGGAGGTGGAGCACTATCAGACACTCTGGTCACTTGGCCACTGCGCAGGGGAGGGGGAGAGGCCAGGAGAGTGTCACCTCTCAGCTGTCTCTACCACAAAGGAGCCCCTGATCCACTCCTTTTTATGGCTGGTGGGGGTTTTAAGCTCCAACTGGTGCTGAACCAGACTAAAAGTTAGGTAAAATGCTCGGTCCTTATGAGTAACTACTTCAGAGGATCATGAGAAAAATACTCTATAAATAAAAAAAAAAGGAGACAGGTGAGTAACCATCATTTCATGAATTGTCTGCATGACACCACCTGCCTGTGTCTAATCTTACCAAATTGTTTTGCTACAGGAAACTGACCACTCAGTGCCCCCTCAGCACCCCCCATTTCTTCCCTGGAGAGCTTAAAAGCATCTTTGTTCCTTTTGGTTGTCACCTATCATCCTTTCAAGTACTCGGTTCTATCTAATGAAGTTCTTAACCTGAACTGGGTTTTTGGTTTTTTAAATACCAGTATTTCAATGTAAACATGTAAACTTTATGCATGAGCTTCACTCATGGCCAAAGGGGTCCCAGTCTTCAGAGGAAAGGAGCAATTCTATTATGCATCAGCAACCAACCTAGTTAGTTCACTCCCCCACCCAGGGACCGTAAACTCCAGAGGTCAAGGCCTACATCCCCAGAAGCATCTAGTGGGTGCTGGGTCAAGTGCTGCTGAACTCTTGGCTGCTGTCTGACACCAGTTTCTATATGCCCAGGGCTTCTCTGTCAGTGACACCAGAGCCATCTCAGAGATGACACTTCCCAAGACCCCCACTCCTAGCACCCTGGCCATCCCCATGGGTGCTCCACTTCCTCAATACTAACCTCCAGATTTGGGTCTCCAGTGAGACCATACCTAGACAGCGTAGATGTCTGGCCCACCCACCATTCTCTACTTTATTGATTGAGAACTTGCAGCTACACAGAGTCGGAACCAGAGCTTGGAATATCTTCTGCGCTAACCAAGAAGTTAAAATTACATCGAGGACTTCAGGATCTGTTCTGGAGAAGACACTGAGCAGGGCACAGCTCTGCCATCACACAGCTACCTCATTTCTCAAGTCTCTCCCTTTGTTCTGTGCAGCAGTCAGGGGCCACCAGCCAGTCTGGTATGACCTGCCTCAACTTGAGAACTGGGCCTCAGAGAGGCTGAGCTTCTTGTCCAAGGTCACACAGGTGTTAAGCAGAACAAAATCAAGGTCTCCCCAGTAGAAACACCTTTCTTCTGGGCTTACTGGGTCCCCTACAGAACCAGAGGATTACCTTAAGTTCTGCTGAACTTTCCCTTGGGATGGCATCCAAGAGATTCATAACCTCAGGGCGTGTCTGATTCCTCCTTCCTCCCCTACAGTCAGTACACAGTACACAAGAGTCAGTACACAGACTCTCTGCCATGGGTCCATTCTAACTCTTATCCTGTTCATTTGTTTCCAAATGAATTCTCTAGAGGTTTCCCTCATCATTTCGTGAGTACTGTCTAATATTCTCGGCTCTTGCTTAGATGACCAGTCTACCTGATTACTCACTCATTACCTTTAGGTTCAAATACAAATTTCAATTTCCTTCCAGATCTGAGAATTTAAAACCAATGCAGAACAGGCCTATTTCACTTCTACTCTTGGGGAAAAACAAAAAGAAAACATCAGTTGATTGTGGTTTTATTAAAGCTTCCTAAACCACTGAAAATTATTCTAAAAATCTTGTACTTCTTGCTTTTTAAAAATTGCATTTTTACTTCAAAATATATCCTTTTGTTACAGCAAGTCAGCCCTTGTCACAAAAAAAAAATTAAAACAAGAAAAACCAAGCAATGTACCAACTGCATGCAATACTGCTACCAAAATATTGAAGCAGCCCTTTTTGTATTAACAGAGAACTTTAAACCAAGTCTGTGATGTGAGGCTTACCTACTGGAGAATAGCTACATGAACTGCAGTCCAAGAACATAATGGTCTATTCACTTGCCATAAGAAACACATATGAATCCAGAAAGCACAGGGAAATGCCTGTCAAGGCAAACCATGGACAAGAAAAGTATCTTACGAAAGCAAATCTTGTAGAATCCTAATTGTCAAGCCAGGCCCCAAAGAGAAAGAAACAAGGGCACTAAAGAGGGAACCTTTGGAAGATGCACACACACGAATGCCACTTCATTAGCGCACACAGTGTGGGTGTATTGGGTAAGGTTTTCCTAAATGGCTTTGTTACAAGAGAGCTTCAGGGAGGTGCACTTTCTTCAGCTTCTTGAATGTCCTTTGACACCACGCACCAACCACGATCACCTACACCTGGTCTGAGGGTGCTGGGCCCCCAGCCTGGAACGCACTCCTTCCTCTGCTGCAAATCCTGGCCTCCGCAATGGAAAGCCTTCCCCCGGCCCTCCTACTCACGCTGGATGTGCTTGCTTTGTATACTTTTTTTGTTGTTTCTCCCATTAAGGTACAAGCTTGAGGGCTGCAACTGTCTTTTGCCTCTTTTTATATACCTAGTGTTTAATACATAGTCATTTTGGTTCTCCAAATCTTTGTGACCCTTTTTGGGGTTTTCTTAGCAAAAACACTGGAGCGGTTTGCCATTTCCTTCTGCTCATTTTATATATGAGGAAACCAAGGCAGACAGGGTTAAGTAACTTGCTCAGGGTCACACGGCCATTGAGCATCTGAAGCTGGATTTGAACTCAGGCCTTTCTGACTCCAGGCTAAGCACTTTATGTACTATGGTGCAGCACATAGGTGCTTAATAAATGTTTATTGATTTTCTGTTGGGTGGGCATCACTCCAAATTGCTTTCAAAAATGGCTAGACCAATTCACAGCTCCATCTTCTCATAGTCCTAAAATATGGATGATTTCCATCTTCTGTCACATCTGCCAATTTGCAGGATGCAGCAGTTGTTCTGGTGGGCATTTTTACTATTAATAACGTGGGACAGTTCTTTACATGGTTACCTTATGGTTTTGAGGGGAAAATTGTTTGTTCATATCTTTTAATCACTTATCCTTTAGGGAACAGCTCATTTGCTAAAGATATTTAATTTCAGAACCCGTCAGAAGCATTTGATAAAAAGATTTTTTCCCCTGACATTTCCTCTTATCCTAATTCCACTGCCTTCTAGAATAGTTTTTTTAAAAAAATTTCATGCAATGGAAATTATGCATTTCTTTTTTAGGACTGTTTGCATCCTTTGTTTAATTAAGAATTCTCCAACACGTCACTGTACCTGGCTTTAATTTTTAAAAATGGTATTAACTTTTCATATTCAAGTCATATCTTCTTTGAGCTTGTGGTATGGAGCGTACAATGGTGTCTAACCCTAATTTCCTAAAGGATGAATTTACAATAAAGATTCATGTTAATAAAACAGCACAAATATGAAAAGTTAAATGAGCAGCCAAAGGCCAATAGTAGTTTTTTTGTCTAAATGGGTTCTCCATCCTTATTGTTCAAGAGTATGAGTCTTTGCAGGGATGCCTTTTATTTTTTAATGGAGGATGAATAATACATCTTTTAAAACCCATTTTAAACACTTCTCTTTCAAATTTTCACAGCCCATTCCTAAGAAGGTAAAAGCATTTTAAGTCATCTGAAGTCCAGAGGCACACTTGGTGCCTCACTCGCTTTCTAGCTGTGACTGGGCAAGTCCCTCACCCTTTCGAGGCCTCAAGTCTGCTCATCTGTAACATCAGAGGTTGGACTCTTTTCAGCTCTGAATCTATGGTGCTACGTCACAGCAACAATGCAAAGAAAACACGGAGTGAAATGTACCAAGAGTTTCACTCCCAATGGTCCAAGAAAACCCTTTTAAGCTCAATTCTAAAACACTGGACCAGAGGCTCAAATCTGACTGATGCTCAAGGTAACCTGCATCTTGCATTCCTCAACTGAGAAATCACCAGTGAACACAATACATCCTGACCTAAGACTCTGCAACAAGAGTGTCCAAATCCTAGAAAAAGCCCCATATTATCATTTTAGGGCACCATAAAACACTCAAAACTTTTCTAAGGCTTTTCTCCAGGATAGGAGTGGCCCTACGGTACAGATCTTCTCTCACTAGACCGAAACTCCTGCAGCCTGCTTGTTCTCCTATCATCCTGGCACCCAAGGCCATGTCCTTTAGCCTAGGGCTTCACAGGGGACAGTCTATGCTCGGGAAGCTTGAATATTACAAATGCCAGAATTTAAGAATAAATAGTGCATTTTTTTAACCCATAAGACAAAGAAAATAGATATGATGGAAATTTTTATTTCAAAGTAAAAGCAATACATTTCTTTTCATTGATGTTCCTGGTCCTCCTGGTGTTAAAAATCACCATCTGTCACCCTTTTCCTGGAAGCATTTTGTCTAGATACCTAGTCTACTTCTATACATATATCTCCTCAGACTGGAAAGGAAAACTTCTTGAAAGCAGATTCTGAGTGTCATTTGTAGAGACTTCCCCACAGCATAAACCTAATCAAGCCTGGATGACTTAATGATCAAGAGAACATACAGTTAAATATATTCATTTTTAAAGCTGTGGAACTGAGGCTCCAAGGAGTGATTTGATTCAAGGTTAGGGCTAATTTTGCACCCAAACCCAGCTTGGAAAATCTGCCAGCCAGATTTGGGCTCTTCCTACAGACAAGAAGTTCCAAGAGATCCTCAAGTTACTGAGCTTGCTTCCACACTCCAGAAGAGCAGTCAGCCCATCAAGGAGGCAGATTATGACCCTTCCTAGGCTCAATATGGTGTCATGGGTTGTTGTGGCCAGCCAAAGGAAGAAGAAAAAACCCTCAACAATGCCAGACAAAAACCAAAAAAGGCTCCCCATCTGCTCTCCCATCTTTCAGAACTGAGCTTCTCCTCACTTTCTGGGGCTGGACCCATAGTGAGTCTTTCTTTCCAGTTTGATGGGCTCTGGCAGAGCTTGAGTCCCTGTTACAAACTTTGGGAACCTCAGGTCACTGCCATACCATAAAGCCTAGGAAGAGGCTGTTTCCACAAACATCAAGGGTTTGGGCACTATATGAGGGCCCTCACGTGGGTACATGCTGTTAGGACCCAAGTACTGGGTAAAGTTTAAATAACAATTCAGAACTGCCTGGGGCAGGTCTCTCTTGTGGTTTTTGAGACTGGCCTCCTAACTACTGAACTACAGTCTCCACAAAATAAATGCAAGGCAGTTAGAGCACCAGCAATGGGGATTCTGAGGCAGAGGTGAGAACAGAGGACATTCTGAGAATGGAAGACAGGCGGTGGAGGGCCGCCTGGGAGAGCCAAGAGAAGGTCAGGTTGAGACAGGCTTTAAAAGTCAGACACATTTGTGTTTCATGTGAAAAGCAACAGGGAGCTTCTAGAGCTTACTACGGAGTGAGGGTAGGGATACATTGAAAACACATTTAGTGGGGAGAATCTTAGGAAAGGGAAGAAGCGTTTTACAGAGTGCCTACTATGTTCTGGGCAGTGTGCTTATGTTTCCAAACAGTACCTCATCTGGGGGAAGGGGGGGTGCTATTATCACCTACGTTTTGCAAACAGAGGTTAGCATCTAGCTTGGTCTTTTAAGAAAATAATTTTAACAAGCAGAAGTGGAGACCTGGAGGGATGGCGGATGACTTGCACCGATACTGGCTGGCAGGTGGAACAGAAAAGGGGGATGTAGTCTTCAAAGTTGTGGAAGTTCAAAAAGAGGTGCCCACAGCAAGCCACAGGCTCTCGGGGCCCTAGGCCAGCCAATCACCTACTGAGGCTGTATTCTATCTGACCTAAGGGTTCCCAAATCCAGTGAAATCTCCACGCAGGCCTTATCTTGGTGCCCTCAATCGTTCAGTGTGGCGGCTGGCACAAAACAAGCACTGAGAAAGTAGTGAATGGAGCTGGAAAACAGAATGATAAGTACCCAGACGCTGCCCGGTGAAGTCCCTATTCATAAGGGAAAAGCAGACTAGAAAGCCAACAGATGCTGCTGCTCCTGCCCAGCACCAAGAGAACCTGGGGAAGGGGCGGGGTTTAACGCGAAGGACGCAGGAGCTAGCCTGTGTTCTGGACTGGGCAGCACCCGCTCCTCCCCGCTAGAACACAAGGAGCCCCCGAGATCGGGCGTCCTTTCGGGGATCCCGGCTCAGCCCGATGGGCAGGCCATCAAAGCCACATCCCCGCTTTTCTAATTCGGCCCAACCTTTGCTCGCAAAAAGATCCCCTACTCAAGCCTCCCGTGGTGTGACTCGGTTTCTCCATCCTCCCCTCCAGGGTATCCACCCGCCCAGGGAGTCCTACACGCCCCCTCCCCCAGCCAAGCGCGGGACGCAGGAACAATGGGCAGCTCCTTCCGAGTTTCCCAAGGGTGGAAAGGGGCTCCCTGGCGACCGTTTGTACTCCCCCCCCCAGGACTTGTGTCCCCCTCCGGGGGGGGGGCCGACCCCTTAAGTGCCCACCAGCGGGGGAGGGGCGCGTTACGCCCCCCCCCCGGATGTGAGCCCCCAAAGCACTCCGAGCACGTGCCCCTTCCCCTCTCCCCCAGCCCGGGCTCCTTCTGGAGTCACCGCGCCCCCCGGCCCACGTGGGGCGCCCCCTCCCCCACCGCCGGGCCCTAGGCTTCCTCCCCACACGGGCCCGCCTCCCGCGCCGGGGCCCGGGCCGTTTCGGGGCGGGCGCCAGGCACATGCGGGACGGCCGCGGGCTTCGGGCGGGCAGGGCCTCTGGCTGGTCCTGGACTCCGCCTCGGGCCCGCTCCGCTCGGCCCCCCTCAGGCCCGGGCCCGGCCGCGCGGCCCCGCTCCCCACGCCCCCACCCCGCCCCTACCTGCCGCGCTCGCTGCAGCGCGTCCTTAAAGGCGTCATTGACGCCGCTGCCGCCGCCGCCGCCGCCGCCCGAGCCCGAGGCCGGAGGGGGGACCGTTGAGTAGTCTGCCATGACCCAGCTGCGGTGGCCGCTACCGCGCGTCCCTGGAGCTCCCTCTCCCAGCGCGCTGCTAAGAAAGAAAGAAAATGGCGGCCAGCGGGACCGGATCACATTCTTGCGCGACCATCGTGCCGTGCAGGGGGCGGGGACACCGGCAGGGAGATCTCGCGAGGCTGGGGGAAGGGGGCGGGCGGGGAGGAATCAAGGGTGGGGGTGGAGTCGGAGGTGGGGGCGGGGGTGCGGCGCGGCAGTTCTCGCGAGACCTGTAGATGACGCCGGCGGGGATGGCGTTCGGGTCCCGCCTCCGTCGCCTTTCGTTGCTGCTGGAGGCAGGGCGCCCGCCCGCCCCCTCCGGCAAGCAAGCTTGGTAAGGTCCGGCGGGGCGACCGCGCTCGGCGTCTGGTGGTAAGAGGAGGGTGGGCGGCTGGCCGCGGAGGCCGCGGTGCGGAGCGGGGATCGGTGACAGAGCTCAGCGGCTCGGTCAGGACCGGGGTGTGGAGATCGAGGCTGCCATGGGGGGGCGGGGATTAGGACGGTGACGTCATCACGCCGGTGACGCAATAGTCCCGGAAGACGTCGTGACGCCGCGGCGGCCGCGGGCGGGGCAGATGCGGGCGGCCCCGAGGGTTCCTCTGGTAGCTGGGAGGAGGCGAGAGGCGGGCGCCTGGAAGAGATGTCCCGCCGAACGCAGCTCAGGAGCTGCGGGGAACCTCCGAGAGCCGGCCTGGCTGAGGCAACCCAGCATGGTGGTCAGGAGAGGGAAGCGGCCGTGACCGAGGAGGGGGGCTCTCACAAGGAGGGGTGAGTTGGGGGGGACACGCCCTCGAGGACAGCCCCCCCACGCCCCAGGCCTGAGTCGCCCCCATTCCACTTTTGTTTTTTCATTCAGTTGTTGGGGGACACCCCTGTTCTGTCCAAAGCCCCGGGGTGGGGGAAGAGCAAGGATGAGACAGTCCTCTCCTCTGTGGGCCCGACAGTGGCGGGGGAAGGGTAAGGTCGCCCCCTCCCCTGGGGAACCCGACAATGGGGGGGAGGGTAAGATCGTTCTCTCTCCTGGGGAACCCGACAATGGCGGGGAGGGTGAGATCACCCCCTCCCCTGGGGGGAAAGATGATTAGATAAAACAGCCCCTGTGGTGGGGGAGCAGGTGGAAGAAACTAGCAAGCCATGTCACCAGATTCCCTGGGAAAGCTTGTCCAGGGAGGTCTTGGAGATTAGGATTAGAGGAAATCTGGCCTCTTCTCTGTCATTTAGCCAGAGACTTAATTCGTGGGTTTCCTGGCCTCTCCCCTGCCCTTCTTCTGCCAGCTCTCCCCAAAGTGACTGATGACTTCTTAGCCCCAGGCCCCACTTCTCTATGGGTTTTTGTGATAACGCTCTCCAGGACTTTTGTCCAAGTTGTACCTTGTCTCCAGTGTCTTCCAGAGCTCGGTCCAGCTTCGCCGTTCTCTCCTGGCTCTTTGCTGTTTCACACTCTGATCTCCTTGGTTACCTCTCCCACCCATTTGCTCTCGACCTCCATTCTTGCATTAAATTGTTCTTCCCGCAGACATTCTATAGTCTCCTGTCTCTCTAACTCCCTTACTGCTGTGGAACTTCCCTTCCCTCCCCCCCCCCCCCCCCCCCCCCCCCGGTAGCCTTCACTCTCACCCCTACTGTCAACTACTTGTCAGGTTCTGCCGGTTTTCTCTTGGTTTCGCTCCTCTGACATGGCCCTCATCACCTCATGCCTAGACTGTTAGAAGAGCCCCTTCTAGTCCATCCTCCACTCAGCTGTCCACCCCCCCATCCTAATGCTCCAGTGGCCTCCCCCCAGGATTGACCCCTCTGATGTTTCAAGCCCTTCTTACTTAGGCTGTCCTAGACCACTCTCCTCAGTGTGCTCTGGACACTCCGCCAGACTTGGGCATTTCCATTCACTGTCCCTCATGCCAGGGCTTCCTAGTCTCTGTCTCTTCGCTTCTCTGAATTCCTTCAAAGTCTCCTTACCTTCTGCAAAAAGCCTTACCTGATCCACCTTCTTCCTCCTGATTAGGCAGGGGTCTTGTATCCTGTCTGTATGTAGTTTGCACGATGTCTTCTCCTATTAGAATGTGAGCTCCTTGAGGGCAGGCACTGGCTTTTGCCTCTTTGTCTCCCTCCCTAACCTTGCATACAGTAGGCACTTAATAAATGTTTTTTGAATTGATTTGACTACTGCTTCCCTTGGGGTTCTAGGATGAACCCTAGTGGGTTGGGGCTTCTAGCACTCTAGTTGCATTTAATGTAGTCCTCATTATTGATCAGCCAGTAAAACCAGAAGTGTCAGAAAGGGTAATAGTAAGTCCACAACATTTGCCTCAGCTCAGGGGAGCCTGTACATACATACCAAGGTCCTTGGGGAGGGTGAGCTCAAATTTAAAGTAATAGTGGCAGTGTACACGTGCTGAGAGAACATGTGTGGCTGTTTCAATCCTTCTGATAACTTGGCCCCAGAAGCCCTTTTCTTACTTCATAGAGACCTCATGAGGTTCTCTTCAGTAGTATACAGCACTTACTATATACCAGGCACTATGCTAAGCTCTTTACGATTATTGTCTCATTTGATTCTCACAACAACCCTTTTTCACACTTGAGGGAACTAAAGCAGATGGGTAAAGTTGTTTGCTGTGGGGCCCGGTGTCTGAGGCTAGATTTGAAATTTGGTCTTCCTGACTCCAAGCCCAATGTTCTGTCCCCTGAGCCACCTCACTGCCCACAGCTCTCTGCTGGCCGTGGTGGATCAGTGCTTTTCTAGAGGTCACAGTCAGTATTTCTCTTCTTTTGAGGGAGCGGCCAAGATCCCTGAAGCTTCGGCTTTCCTTGGGAGCCATGTTGTCGTTGGCCATGACTTTATATCAAACTCTAGTACTGACTCAAGTTGCTGGTGGGACCTCTCTGATAGCCCCAACTCACTGGTGGTCTCCGAACTCTCCTCTCAGGATATTCGTCAGATCTGGAAAGGATAAATCCAGAAGAAGCCAGGGCATCACGAGCACTTATTCTGACTGCCTCTTTGGAGTCACGGTCGCTGCAGTCCACAGCCTCTCCACCATTCAATGGATCGGTCAGCCGCCCAGCTGAGCAAGTTCTCAGGAATGAAGTTGGACTGGCTGTTTCCCTGTTTAGATTATGATAAAAATGTAAGAAAAATTTCCAACAATGACATTGATCCAAAATCAGATGGCCTTGTGAATGAGGCAGGGAGTTTCTCCTCATCAGGGGAGAACTTCTTGGTGTTGAGGATTTTCTGGGTCAGGTTTGGGATTGGAGTAGATGGCATCTGAGGGCCCTTCCCTCTCCTGAGATTCTGAGAGGTCGGAAGAGAAGAGGAGTGGGCACGTTCCTTGGTTGGTAAACATCAGTCCACGTTTCCTGAAGCTGAAGTGTTTTCCAGAAAAATGAGCTGTATAGCTCAGGAGATGGGAAAGTTGGGGCAAAAGAGGTTCTGGAACTTTAGGTATATTAGTGGGAACATAAAAGTGGAGCTAGGTTACAAAAGCTTGGAGTGCCTTTCCAGGCAAAGTTGTAGGGACCCTAATTTGATGAGCAGTGGGAAGGAAGTGATTAATTAGCAGCAACTGCCGTAGGGGGAGAAATTCCCAAAGGTCCTGGTAGTGGGGAGAGAAAATAGCACCTTGCAGAGATATGTTGGGGAAAGCATAGAGAGGAATCCCGAGGGAAGATGGTCCTGTTAGCAGGAAGGAGGAGGGGGAGACCCTGAGCTCAGATTTGAATAGGTTGACTAGGACATCCGTGTCTAGTAGTCCATGGGAAAGCCTGGGGAATGGATCCACTCGCAGAAGAAGAGAACAGAAGCCTGCAGACTGCCTGGAGTAGGAGGAAGAAGACGCATTGGCAGGGTGAGCCGGCAAGGTCACCAGAACTGAAAAAAGCTTAGCTTTGGGGCTCAGCAGTAGGGAATATTGGTTTTAGTACCGTGGTGGTGACCGTTGCAGGAGGGGAAGTGAACACAGTGCACTTGTGTAAACTTTTGTGAGGTAGCTTTCTGCTGCAGTGGTTAGGATGTTCTACCTGAAGTCAGGAAGATCTGAGTTCAAATCTTGCTTCAGACTAGCTGTGGTTGGCAAGTTATTTAACTTCTGGCTGAAAAAATACTCCGTATCACTCATTGAGAAATGCGGAATAACAGTCTGAGGTTCCATCTCATACCGTCAGACTGGCAAAGATGTTAGGAAAGGGAAATGAAAATTGTAGATGGCACTGTGGGAAGACATGACCATTTTGTACGGTGGTGTGGAAATATGTTAAATAGACCGTTATTAGGTCTATACCCCAAAGAGATCAAGGAAAGAGGGCAAAGATCCACCTTACAAAAACATAGCAGTCTCTTGTTATAGCACATAGCTATGAGCTGGGGCATCTGTCACTTGGGGAATAGAATATTGTTGCAGTATGAGAAATGGTCAAAGGGATGGTTTCAGAGAAACCTAGGGAGGCTTGTAGGAATTGATAGAGAGTGAAATGAGCAGAACCTGGAAAACAGTTGGGAAGTGCTTACCTGCTGACAGAGGTGATGGATTTAGAGTACAGAATGAGACACTTTTGGGCATAGCCAGTGTGAGAACTTGTTTTGAGGGTTTGCAAAATGAAGGCCAGCTTTTAATTTTTGTGGCTTTATTTTATATCCTGCTACTTTACTGACATTACTGATGGTACTAATTGTTTAGGTGTATCTGTAGGATTCCCTGAATAAATCATCACATCATCTCCCCGTGTTAATTCTGTTTCCTGTTTTGATTATGAGGCAGATAAATCGCTCAGTGGATCAGGTGCTGGACCTGGAGTCAGGAAGACCAGAGTTCAAATCTTACCTCAGAGGCTTACTAGCTGTTTGACTCTGGACACCTGACCTGTGCTTTAGTTTCTTCATCTGTAAATGCAGGTGATAACAGCATCTGCCTCCCAGGGTTGTTGTGAGGGTAAAATAAGATTATATTTATAAAGCACTAGGCAAACCTTCAAGTGTTATATAAATACAAACCAATATTGTTATTTTCTCCAGTTATTGTTCTTATTTTGTTGATGTTAGTCAGCATTTCTAGAACTATATTAAATAACTGGAGAAGCCTCTAGGGTAGGGGGTGGAGAACCTGTGGCCTCAAGGAGAACATGTGGCTTTCTAGGTCCTTGGATATATTTGAGTGAGCCAACATTGTACAGAGTAGATCCTTTTATTGCTCTAGGGTTTCTCTGTTACAGATAATGTTAACTCTTGTTTTTAGATTGAGCTGTGTAGTTTGCCATATTAAGTAAAAGTCCATTTATTCCTCGTTTTTTGACGTGAGTGTTATATTTTGCCAAAAGTTGTGATCAGTAACCTGTTTATAATATTCATAATGTTGAACCAACCTTATATTCTTGATAGAAGATGTAAAGCTTTTCATAACAAACCCTTTTCAGTAGCAAGGAGGGTGGACCATTACCACATTTGGGCTCTTCACATCATGGTTCAAGAGGAGCTTCTTGAACAAGCAGAAATGGCACTGAATAATTAAGAAAACCAAGTTGAGAAAAGCAGCCGGACTAGGCTAAGTACATGTGAGAAGGTCTGAGTGCAGACGATGTGGTGAGAGAGCCAGGAAATCAATGTTCATGATGTCTGATGGTGGGGAGATGCCAAGACATGGCTTGGGCCTTCAAAGCAGAAACAAGGTGATTTATTGACCAGTGTGTTCGTTTCCATAACACTACAAATGATCTACATGTGTATGATGCTCGTTATCAAAAGGGAACAGACAGACTTGCAAACGAAGTTTCCTAGCAGACCCCATTTGACTGAAGGATGTAGAGAATACAGGATCCCAGTGTGCTGGTTGGGGTTAGGCTCTCCTGCCCTACGTGTGTCAAAATCACACAAAGTCCTCAGATCGTCACTATCAAGTAAGATAAAGCAGGTGTCAGCCAGGTCCTAGAGGAGCTCCAGCACAGGAATCTGGGTGCCACAAAGCTTCCCTCCATAGGAGCTCCTTCAGGGCTCCTGTTGGCAGGTTCCATTTGTATCAAGCTCTGTAACACACTGCAGAGCCTTAGGATAACGTTTGGCCCAACTACTTGCAACGGGGAAAAAAATCCTAGCAGCTCAAGAGTGACTGTTTTCTAGACCAAGGGAGGAAGTTAGTTAGAGCCAGGGACTGAAAATGAACAATTGAACTGAATCAGATGGGAGGAAGTTGGTCTGCATTGCCTTCGGGAATTTGGGCAACGTTCTTGTAATAATCTGAAACTCCTTCCTGCTGAACACATACCTGTCTTAATGCCAGTAACCTCTTAGTGAGTGGTGGCTGTCAGGCGCCTGGAGCATCACAGTTCTCCAAACAGTCAAATGAACAGCACCCAGAGAGCAACAGGGGGCACATGACAGACGTGAAAAGGCTGCAGTACATGGCAAATAAGCAATTAGGAAGGAGAAATTGCAGAAAGGATGCCACCAAAGGGATATGTGAATAGAAAAAAAAATTATGGACCAGCACATAGTTGTTTGCCCTTCATTTTCAAAGAGGATCAGTGACATCACGATGTTGGGGTAAAAGCAGGTGATGGGTGATGGTCTTGACTCGTGCTTGAATTGGATTTAAGAGAGGCAAAGTTGGCACGCTCCCTTCAGGGTAATGGACAGCCAGCCATCCCTGCTTTGAAAAACCATAGAGGGAAGTTTTGTGTTTCTTACCCAGTTGAGGTTAAGATTTATTTTTGCTAATTACACATCTCTTGCAGTTATCCCCAAACATGTAATTCAGATTGTATTTCATAACATGGAGTATTCAAGAGACAATCGTCTGTCTCCTCAGAGTTGCTGGATTAGGTGACTAGGAATTTAAATTTGTCCCACCTTGAGTAGTGCAATAGCTACTGAATTGTAAGGAGACAGAAGACCGTGACTTCTGGTCCATAATAATGTTAATTTATTCTGAGTCTGTGCAGGTCTTTCAAACACATCCTCACGTTACTAATTGATCTCAGTTTTCTGTCAGAACAATCAATAAGAAATTGCGCTCTTGCCTGTTGGGGCCTGTACTGTGCTTCTCGATGAGGATATGAATATCAAAGTGAGACATCTCGCTTCAAGGAGCTTAGAGTCTATAGGGGACACAATGTGCTCACAGAGAAGTAAATAAAGTATCTATTTATGAAATAAATACATAGGGACAGGGGGCAGGGCTCTCCTGGACTTACTATCTCATCCCAGAAGTCCATTCAGTTGCCATATCTTGGCATCTTTATCTTAGCAACGTCTCTTCACTCACAGAGCTGCCTCATTAGTTCAGGCCCTCCTTGTCTGGACTCTCTCATCAGTCCTGTCTGTTCTACACATTGTCTCTAGTTTGCCTCAATGGATGTAATAACTTCCTCTTCAGCACCATAAACCAACCAAATGGCCCTTTTCTCAAAGCTTAAGCGGACCTTTGAAGGAAGCTGGGAATGCATTCCAGTTATGGAGGGAACAGTCTTTGAAAAGCCAAGTAAACTGGCAATGGACTGTCTTGTGTGAGGATAGCATAAAGGCCACTTGGGGGGAGCATAGTGTGCAATAAATCTGGAAAGGTAGGCTGGAGGTGGTTTATTACAAATTATTGTAAATGTAATATATAATACAATATAATATACATTAAATACCAAATAGAGGTATTTGATCCAAAAGGCGACAGACACTGGAGCCTTTTTTTGACAGGGTAGGGAGGTAGATGTGACATGATGAGATTTGGATCGATTAGAGAGGGGAGACTTGATAAGGGCCTGAGCTAGGGAAGGGTTAGTTATCACAAAGAAGAGGAAGAGATGGATATGAGAAATGTGAAGATAGAATTGACAGAGTACAGAAATATTGGAGGAGAGTATGGAATCGATTTTTGCCCTGAGGTTGGGAACTTGGCACTGGGAGTTTGGTAGCACCCTGGACAGAAGTAGGGAGAAGGGGGGGGAGGTAGTAAGCTCTACTGAGTTTGAAATCCCCGAGGAACACCTGGTTTGAAATGATCACTAGGCTCCAGAGGCATATTGTATTGGGGAGTTCTGATGCTAATGTTGCTCCCATGGAAGCTGATGGGGTCCCTGACCAGAAAACTCAGAGAAGCAATAGAATATCTAGGAGGTTGGTGTCGGATGCTTCAGAGAAGTGCCA